ACTTACAATGATAATGATAGGAGTTCGTGCTGGCTAGCAAGATTTGATCCTGTCAATAACCTGTAAAATGTAATGCTCCACTTCTTCCCAGTACCTAAAACCAAGAGTACATTGAAAGTGTGCACTTGCTAAAACATATCAGTACAAAAAGTTATAAATTAAAGTCTAGGATTAGTAATCTTGTAAATGTGTGAATATGTTAATTACATGTACATGTATGATGTGTTCAAAAGAAGATTGAGACTAAAGGCCAGAATATACATGTACATTTAGTTGCAAATTATTCTATTACAAGTACCACCTAGACCTATGTACTACTAAAAGGAGCTTGCCTTTAAACATTCCTGCTAATGCGCGTGGCAGTAGAGTATTAGGGTAGATATCCTGTGCTAATAGAACTCCAGTCATCACGTTATTAGATCTCCTTATCTCTTCAAGAGTTAGGAAAAAATACTGAGAGAGAGAGAAAGAGAGGAATGAATGATATAAATAAGTTCTTATATACTTTTATCACAGCAGACTGACTGTACAGTTTAAAAACAGTGTCACCTGGAGAAAAATTAATAAAATACCTAGGAATACAATAAAAATAATCTGTAAACCTCTTCACCTTTCCTACCATATCAATATGTATGCTAGTATAATTTTTTCATCGGCTACTGAGTCCAACAGTGGTCGTCCTAATAGTAGGTTGGTTATTAGGCTCCCTGATGTTGAGACTGTTATAGTAATGGAACAAGAGGCAATGGGATAATTGAGAGAGAACTGATAACCACCTAAAAGTAAAATAAAATATTATAAACAATAGATTGAGATTCTTCACAAAAGCCATTCATACCCAATCACGTAAGTATGTATTGTTTAGGCTACCACCAGAAGGACATAAATGTAATAATAAGTAATCCTGTACTATAGCCAATGCTAAATGGTTCCAAAATCACCCAAATTTTATTACATTTTATGATACGCATAAATGTCCTGATATACATGTACATACTTGTAATAAACAAGTAATCATAGAGCCAACAAATTTACAAAAACAGGAAATTGTGTTCCAATTCATAATTTATAATACCTTATAGCGGGTTAATTTTGAGGATAATTTTTGAGAATGGCCAGCATCTGGAGGTTCACGGAATTAATTTTCGCAAATTGCCACTTTTCTGCCATCTTCTACCATATTTTAAAGAACTTAATTTTGCGAATCTTCAAAAATCCGCAAAATTTATCCTCGAAAAAAAAACCGCTATACGGTACAAAAAAATTAATACTAATTATTATTGCAGTCTATGGCAGATTGCAAAGTTTTTGTACTAATAGAAATCTTTACTGTACAATGAAATGTATATTATTATATTAAACTGTAGTACTATTATCATAAATCTACTCTATCTATACTCATAGTATCATTGATCTGGTTGTACACGAGATTGCAACAAAGTCAAATATGGTTTGTAACAGCCTCACCTGGCTCCCGTCTCAGTACAACACTAGTGACGGTAAAGTGAACGAGAGAGAAAAGAACAGGAATCAAAGAAGCCATCACATCCATCATATTTGGAGGCGGTGCACTTCTTTCAACATCACGTGATGTACCACGTGTTCTCACGTGTGACTCAAATATGATAGATATTGGACAAAAGCCTATACAAAACACTATAATAATGTATTTTTAATTTTAAAGAACAAACAAGAACACAATAAAGTGTCACGTCTAATTAAAACCAAGAATGACACTATGCAAAGCATTATTGCAGCTGCCAAAAATAATGACAGAAATAATGAAAGAAAAAGAGAGACAGAAGCTACTTCTTAGCTCCTCCCCCTCCTCCAGGATTATTAGTTAATGTTCCAAAAGGATCAACAGAAGATGATCCACTTCCACTACCAAACGGATCACTGAACGGATCAGAAGCACCAGAACCAGTAGCACTAGCACCAAATGGATCTGATGAAAAAAATGGATCACTAGACTTGTTACCAGAGGCACCCTGAGAGAGAGAAATAGAAACAAAGGTAAAGATAACAATAATAACAACAAGCTATTTTTGCGAAGGATAGAGAAAAGGTGCGGATAATTTATTGTATATTATACTGTAGCAATAGCAGAAGCATATTGATATCATATAAGACTCAATAAAAAAGATTAATTTTGATACATGCTTACAGACATACATGTACATTACATGTGTTTGTTCTTTTGCATTTTATTTAAAATAATTTTACAGTGTGTTTTTAAAATGCCATCATGTACTATTGCTTGCGCTAATGAATCAATAAGAAATAATCAGAAATAACTCACCCCAGGGGCAGCAGAAGCAAAAGGATCAGAACTACCAAAAGGACTAGAATCCCAGGTTGAACCACCCTAACAAAATAAAATAAATCAATAACAAACCATGCCCAATACTACACCCACCATATCACCAGCTTTAGGGGTAGTCACTGAGGAGAAAGGATCAGTACTACTAAAAGGATCGGACCCACCTCCAAAAGGATCTATAAAGAATGACGTCATTATTACAAGTAAGAAGACAGGTTTTACTAACCTGTATTACTAGCTCCATTGGTTGAAGGAAAACCTGAGAACTGTTTAGACGGAACAGATGAAGTGGCTTTAGCAGTAGAGGAGGAGGCAGAGGAGGAGGGGAGGGAAGAAAAGTTGGAACCAAAAGCCGAGAAATTGGCAAAATCGGATGTCCCGGAAGGCGGTGGGGTAGTTGTGCTTATTGTGGGTGGAGCTGTAGACATGAAGGTAGCACTGGTAGTGGAGGGTTTGTTGAATCCTCCAATACCAAACGGATCAAATGAGAAATCAGTAGGAGGAGCAGCACCAGCAGAAGAACCTGTTGTAGAAGGATTGATGACACCTAGTGTTGAGGAGAGAGGGGGAAAGGGAGAAGTAAAAGCATAGATGAAAGAAACACAAAGATAAAGGTGAATCAGAAAAAATATAAATGTACATGTACGTGTAGATACATGTACATGATGATCATGTAATAATTTTAAAAGCACATTCTCTCTCTTACTGGCTCCAGTGAACGGGTCAGGGAATGATGCAAAAGGATCAGCAGCCGTCACTGTGTCAGTCCTTTCCCTCTCTTCACTTTGATCCTCCAAATGAGAAGCTGTACTGAAACCACTAATACTACTAACAGGACTACTGCTACCAGCCTGAGGGAGGGAGGAAGGGAGAGTGAATGAGAGTACAGTACATATACATGTACATGTACATGACCATGCAAATAAACTTCTGGTCTTCAAAGGCAAGCCCATGCCCCTCTCCCTGGGCTTCCCACAAAGCATGCTTCATGAGCTGACAATTATAAATAGTGCATGGCTTTTGGACCAACTTCAAAAATTTGGCAAAAACTCCAGTTTTAATCAGAATCAAATCAAAATTTTTTACACAACATAAGCTCATGTACATCCATCAGAAAAATTATAAAAATGAAGAATTCCCTCCTTTTCAATTTTGGCAAAATTTGGCCTGAGACTCTGTACCATATTGGCCCAATTTTAGAGCAACATTCAATATTATTTCCTCCCTCCCCCTCCCCTTACAGTGGCTCTAGCTGATACAGCATCAGGTTCTCCGAGGAGGTTAGGAGGTGGTAGGTCAGTGGGTAGCTCTCCTACTCTCATTGCTGTTGGGTGTACATTGCTATCAGAGGATGATGAAGGTACCACAGACATTCCTGAGAGTTGAGCTGATAGCTGGCCCTGCTGGTTACGATACTCATCAATCTGTGCCTTTACCTGTAACAAATTAAATTACATGTAACATGTACCTTATGGGTACTATACATGTACATGTACATGTATATCCTCAAATGAAAGTTGGGTGAGAATAAACGCCGGGGTAGCAACTATAAATATGCAAATCTAGCCTTAAACTAACGAAGTCTTGTGCGTGAAGTCAAAATGCCACTTTACTATACAGATACCCAGGCTTTTATTTGAGGAAATACATGTAATATTATGGTAAATTTTAGTTAAGGAATAAAATTTTTGCCAATCAGTCAAAAATAAGGCATGAAGTCCATGAACCACTATTTTTTCTGAAAAAATTTGCAAAATTTCTGAATAAATAGTACACATACAATGTACATGTACATGTACATGCATACATGTATGCCACACTAAGATTAGTATATACATGTACATGTATTCTATATGTACATGTATATACCTACATGTAAACTATTATTATATACATGTACATGCATACATGTACATGTGTACATGCATACATGTCCTTACCTGGTCAATTCCCCTCTGTACTGACTGGTTCTCAGTTTGCATCCTGTGTATCTCTGATCGGGTGCTCTCTATCTTGTTCTTCAGTGACTCCTCCTCTTGCTTGAGGTCACTGAACTGCTGCTGGAGTTTACTCATCTCTGACTCTTGCTGGCTCTTACTCTCCTCAACCTCTTTATACTGAGCCTTGAGGACCTCAATCTGGAGACAGGAAAGAGAATAGGATTGTACATGTATTTGTATTTAATTGTATTGTAACCATTTTAAAAAGCTAACAAAATTTTGAACTACATGTACATATATATCCCATAGTTTCTTTGAATAATGGCTCCAAAATCACCCCAATTCTATTACATTTTCTGATACATAATTGATATCTTTATCAGAATCCAATCAGAATTGACGTAGAAAGCTTGAGCTGTTTCCAAAAAATATTTTTTTAAAGTTATGAGCATTTAGAAAACTATCAAATTTTGGGCATTTATATATTTTTTATCCAAGAAATTTTGAGTCAATTCTAACCACAACCTTGCACTTAAAGAACAAAAATCATAGAAATATTATGCTACATGTATATTGTACATTCATGTATTCATTTGTATTGTGAATTTGTACCCATTTCAAAAAAAACTAAAAATTTACAGCCCATACAAATGATACAATGTACATGTAGCTTTCTTCAAATAATGGCTCCAAAATCACCCCCAGTTTTTATTACATTTTCTGATACATATTGATGTCCTTATGCTATGTAGAAAGTTTGAACTGATTCCGACTTAAATTTTTTGAGTTATGAGCATTTTGAAAAATTGGCCAAATTTTGAAAAATACCCAAGGCTATTATTATAATAATTATTACTAATTTCACTTATAAACTCATTACTACTGATTTCTGATCCTATTTCAAATTCAAAAAAATTTATTAAGGCTATAGCCCATGGTTTTTTGCAAAAATTGGCTCCGAAATCACCCCCAGTTTTTATTACATTTTCTGATACATATTGATGTCCTTATGCTGTGTAGAAAGTTTGAACTGATTCCGACTTAAATTTTTTGAGTTATGAGCATTTTGAAAAATTGGCCAAATTTTGAAAAATACCCAAGGCTATAGCCCATGGTTTTTTGCAAAAATTGGCTCCAAAATCACCCCCAGTTTTTATTACATTTTCTGATACATATTGATGTCCTTATGCTGTGTACTGTACATGTAGAAAGTTTGAGCTGTTTCCAACAAATAATTTTCAAGTTTTGAACATTTAGAAAACTATCAAATTTTGGCAAATCCAACCACAACTCTTGCATTCAAAGAACAAAAGATCATAAAAGATCATATGCTACATGAATAGCTGCATATCATCTACAGTAAATTTGTACATGTACATGTATGTTGTAAGACAAAAAGTATCAATCCTTAAGTACCTCTTCCTTCTCCTGTTGGCATTTGGCTTTCAAGTCATTGATCATTCCTTCAAGTTTATTTTTCTGTAAAACAAATACACATGTACATATAAACAAGAAACTCATTCACTCTCCCCTAGTTCCCTATTCTCTTACCGTATAGTGCAAAATTTTAGAGGGCTGTAAATTTCCACCGATTTCGCAATTTTTTTTAAGATTAACAAAAATTACTTCCACGAAAATCAAAATTATTACGGTACAAAATGGCAAATGGCATAAATTTGCAAAATAGAGTTTTTAAGGCAGATTTGCAAAATTTACAGCCCTAAAAAATTTGGCACTATACGGCATCAAAGTTATCAAATTGACACCTCCTCTCCCCTCCCTCTCTCCCAACCTGGAGTGTTATTTCTTCAACGTTGCTTTGAAGTTCTTTCTTCTGCTGCTCCAGTTGTTGGTTTAGTTTGGTTGTTTCCTCATACTCTCCTTGCATTGTGACGGTCTCCTCCTTCCCTTTGGCCAGTTGCTCTTTCTTCATCATGATATCCTGTTGGAGCTGCTCCTTTTCTCTGCAAAAAATAAAAATAAAATATCACACAATAACAACAATAAAAGTAAAAATTTAATATACATGTATTTGTATATTAGAACAGCATTTTAGTACAATGTACAATGTACATGTATAATTAATTATAATAGCATCCGATAAAAATTAACAAAACCACAATAATTAATTCCAAAAAAAATTTAAAAACAAAAATTTGAGGACGAATTAGTGTAAATGTACATGTACATGTACTGTATATCCTCAAATAAAAGTCCAGGCATCTATTTCTTAAAATAGCATTTGGACCTCGAAATAAATTATACAATAAAATAAAACTTGAATCAAAAGTAAGATTCAAAGCAGGGACCTCAGGCATAAGACTTGAGGAAGCTTAAGGAAGCTAGTACATGCATCTACAAGGCATCTACTGTATGTTATTTTAAAGCTAAATTTGCATATTTATAGTTCCATTTTATCGCTACCCTGGCATTTAATTGCACTTGGCTTTTATTTGAGGATAGACAGTACATTAACAGCTCTTACTTCTTGACCCCCTCTATTTCACCAGATATCGTATCAAGGTCCCTAATAGCTGAGAAATCAGCCGAGAAACCTCCAGACAAATCAGAGGAGGCTCCAACCCTGAGAGACGGAGAACCCGTCATACCAGTTGAGGCCTGGAGGACAGACCCGCCAAAACCAGACTGACTGGATACTGATACCGGTTGAAGCAATGAGCCACTCCCGCCGAAACCAGACTGAGTGGTTGTCGAGGGCTGGAGAATAGCCCCACCCCCAAGCGACGAGGGGACTGAGGATATTGGAGGTGCCCCTCCCCCTCCACTCGGAAACAAAGACGGCGGAGCTGAAGATGGTGATGATTGTTTTAAAGAATTTGATGATGTGGGTTGTAACAGACCAGCCCCACCGGTAACTAAATGACTAGCACTTGATGTACTTGATAGTCCAGACTGTGACGAGACCACACCTCCTGCCACGCCCCCACCAGATCCCGCCCCCTTTCTCTTTGATGGTGGTATCATGTTTGGTGCCAGTTCAGTCGGGACCTCACGCCCTTTGACCTTCTCTGCTATCAGGTACATAGCAAGAGCAAACTGCTCCTTATTGAGGCGACCAGTATTGTCCATATCACACAATCTCCTGTAGAGAGAGAGAGAGAGAGAGAGAAAGAGAGAGAGAGAGAGAGGGAGGGGGAGAGAGAGAGAGAGGTGGAGGGGAGAAAGAAAAGGCAGAAAATAAAAAGATTTGTTCAAGTTCAACCTTTGCTTTACTCCATACACACACACACACACACACTTAATAATTTTTAATTCTCCCTGAGCCTCCCCCTCTCTCTTTCCTTCTCTTCTCCTCCTTCCATTATTTTTCACTAACAAACGGGCCAATTTACTCGAGCTGATAAGAGGAAACTCAGTCTTCACTTGGCACAAAAGACAAAATAATTTGTGCCAAATTGGACGAAGGCCATATTCCTTTATTTCTACACGTACATTATGTAAATATCTCTATACTCACCAGATGTGTGCTAGTATGTTAGGAGGTAAGTTTGACGACATAAATAAACTCTTAGCCTCCTCTCCATTGACGATCCCATCATGATCTTTATCAATACCGGCAAAATATGTATCATACTTAGCTTTGACATCAGGAGTCACCACCCAGTCATTGCCCTATTAATGATAACAAAATTAATGATAGAAATATTAATAATATTAATAGCAACATATATTTGATGCATAATAACAATAACAACTGTTATTGTATATGTATCACATTTTAAGCATCAGTTAAGATTCTATAATAGTAATAATGTGTAAAACGCTACTAAGAATAGTAACAATAAAAATCGTGTGTGCAAAAATGCAATGAACTAAAAATAGCCCATCACAAATAAAATTCATTTGTCATAAGTACATGCATACAGTACAGTGCGAAAAAAAAGATAAGTAGCTACTCTACTTTTGCGTAGGTAGTTTGCTACTCCTTCGTTGCGCATGCGCAAACCCGCCAGTGGTAGTAGTTCACGTGGTCAGCAGCAGGACAGTAGCTCGACAGTGAATCGGGCGAAAAGCGTCATAAACAGCCTTCTAACAGCAAAGAGCAGCAATAGAGTTGAACTTGGAGAGCACAGACAGCCAAGAGAAGCATCCACAAGTCATTTGAGAGCCTCTAGAGTGCGTGAGCGCTTGCTACTACAGAACATGTGACTGGGCAGTACTGCAGTACTTCCTGGGGGTAGCGCAGCAAAGAGTAACGAAGTAAATTACTACCTACGCACTACCTGCGTACTACTGTTGCTATTTATCCTTTTTTTCGCCTTCTACTGTACATGTACATTGTTATTAAAAATAGTAACACACAGAGAGATGTACTGTAGCTTACAGTCCGTCCCATTACTGGTGACTGTGCTCTGGTGGAGAGAGACCCAGTGACAGCAGCCGGAGGAGCCAGACCAAGACGAGCAGCTTTAGTAGAGGGAATGAGGGACTGGGGAAGAACCAGTGGAAGGACTTCACCTTTCTGAGCTAATGACGTCAACTTTAGTGCCTAAAAATAGTAACAGGTAATAAAAATAGGTTTAGTAAATGTATACCGTATAGTAGGAAATTTCAGAGGGGATTAAATTTGGTGAATTTGGCGTTTTGATAGCCATTCACCAAAATAAAATTCTGCCATTTTGAGCCATTATATGCATGCTCAATAGCATGCGGCCACAAATTCGCCAAATTAAAAACCGCCAATCACCAAAATTTAGCAATTCGCCAAAATTTAGTCCCTCCAAATTTACCCGCTATACAGTATTGAATTGTTACATAGTGACTAAAATAACGAATCATCATTTAAAATATCGTTATTTCTCACTTACAATAGCAAATTCGTCAGCATCTAGACTACCATCTCTGTCTAAATCAGACAAATTCCAAATCTAAAAGGGAGGAAGGAGAGCGGTTGAGTATTTGTTACTTTCATGTCTTACCTTTCCTAGTACATCAACAGGAAGCTGTGACTGCATTAAGAAATTCCTAACTTTCTCTCCGGACAGCAATCCGTTAATTGGCTGCAAGCGCTACAAAGAAAAAACAAAAATAAAAATAATCAACTTAATAGCAGACTACATTATACATGCACCTACCTAATGATCCTATAACTACATGTACATGTATACGTGTGCAAATGTAGAATGTAAGTCTGTACATAATTCTATTCAATGCCATATGATACCATATGCCATATGTTTCCCCTAATCTAATACAAATGTACTGTGTACATGTACATGTAGGTTATTCCAAGCAACATACAGTATATTTTTATCTGGATATTTTAACAGATACACGTACTGACATACACTATACATGTAAAATATTCTATATTACATACTGTACTTTAATTTGGTGTACATGTACATGCAGCTTCAATTAAGTAATTCAAGATTGAAATTACGTACATGTACATGTATGTACATTGTACCTACATGTATGCTTATCTGAAGGATGTGCTAGGGTAAAACCTAATCTACAGTCAATGAAAAGCATAAATTACATGGCCAATCTGACCTTTAGACATAACTAAAGCTTTGAATTTGACACAAATTTAACTCGTCAAATTTTAATTCTGTGTTGCATTTTATGTCAACTGTAAACTTTCCTTTAGGGTAGTAGGCATAGAGATGGCAAAGCAGGATCAAGATATTCTAGTGAAACTGATGGAATATATGAGAGTGAGAGATACAGGTAGCAGTTAAGAAATGCTTTGTATGTTGTTGCCAGATATGATATTAAATATAAATATTTTGAGCCTAAGATAGTTTAATAAATGTCATACATCAAATCAAAACCATCACATGTTGACTACTGCCAAACCAAAGTGCCACATATTAAACTTCCTACAGAACATATACAATATACATGTACATTATACATGTACATTGTACATGTACAAATGTATCAACAAAGCTGGTCAACGTACATGAGCGCTAGTTAGTACTTAGTACATGTATGTACAAGTACATGTACACTATACATGTACTAACTAGCTTTCAGAAGTTTTCTAAACCTTAAAAATACTTTTAAAATAAACACATTGTCCATTTGTCACCAACAGCTGACGATAAACTGCAAAGTAAACATTAACACTCACAGTAAGTCGGTAACAATATCAAACAACAGTTTACCATAAGTGTCAAACGCACGCATGTGTATTTTAAATGAAATCAGTTTCAATTCTGGGTTACGTAAAAATATCATAATAAATAATAAGGAAAGATACATGTATGTATACAGCACTGGTCAGCAATAAGTTGACACGTAATTTGCGTTTAAGTTGCGTTTAAGTTTGCTATAGTTTATCGTTTTCATAGTGACATACTAGTTGTAAACTAACATTATCCATGCTCAAATGCTACCACAGTCTCTGGCAAATGTAACTTATGTATATTCAAACATAATGTGGTTGCTTATCTGTGTATTATCACATTTTATTGCGTTCACCAAACTAGTTTACTCTAGTTTAGCTATCGTTCATTTGTCAACTTATTGCTGACCAGTGCTGTACATGTACATCTATGTAAAATATGAAGAGAAATATTGTGAGAGAGGGCAAATTATATAAAAAATAGAAATAAGATTGACATTGATCCAGTACTATATCTTGTAGATACATGTATGTACATGCACATGTATAGTACATGGTTTAGAAAATAAAGCAGGTGCTGTATATGCTATTATATAACAAGAAATCAATATCATAATATCATACTACATGTATATAAAAATCGTCCCAATGCAATAATACAGGCATAAACTCACTAACATGCAGTCCATGATAATAATAATAACATGTATGTAAATGAATTAATGAATTGATACACATGTGCATTTTATATTACAATAAATGTGGATATGCATGTGCTCCTAATTCCCAGGAATTAATTTACATAAAGTGCCAGTCAGCCAAAATAACAAGTTCTACTTTGTGAGTACAGTGCATGTATGTATCATGTGCTTATGAGTGACTTTTACAGTCTTCTGGCCCTCACCTCAAATCTTGCATTAGACATTGACCTTTCATTAGCCTAGAGAGGAGGAAGAAAGTAAAGAGGGAATAAAGATAAAGACCATGAAGATAAAGTCCATACACATGGGGACATGCTGATCAACAAATTAAATGTGAAAAATGAAAATACAAGTGATTAGACAGTACATAATGTACTGGGATTGGCACTATAGGAAAACAAAATGTGCTCAAAACATAAATAAATACTCACAAAACAGGTACAAGGATAATACACTGGAGGCCCTTTAGTTGTAGAATTAGAAGTGTGATACAAGGACACACCACAGAGGAGTTAATGTACACAACAAGGAAAGGGAAAGACACAAGGGAGAGGGAGGAGAGAAAGAGAGAGTAGAAAGAGGGAGGGAGGAAGGGAGAGAGAAAGAGAGAGAGGGAGGGAGGGAGATAGCCTACATCAATAGCCCAGGCAGATGGTTCTACACCAACAAATTTCGGAGGCGGATCAATAGCTTGAATGTTTTTAAGTGACGGCTCCCTACCACACTGACAAGCACTAACTAGCCTCAATGCTGTAAAGAAACCCTAAAATAATAATGAAAGGAAAAAGATCAAAATTAGGATTTATAATGTCTCTTAATCTTATAATAATAATAAATTAGGTTACGCAATTTAATTAATATGCATGTACATGAACATTACTAAGATTTTAATACATGTACATGTACCTGTTTATCAAGGTATCCTTTTCCACCAGGGTCGGACAAATCCCATATCTAATGCAATAAGAAATAATCATAAAAGGTGTGATAAAAATAACAATATCAGGAAAGGGCGTGGCAGCTAAAGGGCGTGGTCACCCACCTTGTGCAAGAGTGCCTCCTTTAATTGTGATTTCTTGAGAAAGGCTGCAGCAGTAATGGCATTAACATCACCAGATGAACTACCTTCCAATTGTAGCCAGTAGCTCTCAAAAACGGGAATATAATTTGGAGGCAACTATGAAAAAAAGACAAACAACAATAAACACAAAAAAAGTTAATAATCTTTCACTCTCCCTCCCTCTCCTCTCTCTTACAGGAGGCTGTCCTGCCATGAGGAGAGAGAGAATTATGGCCCTCGACTTTTGGGAGAAGTGCAACTTGTAACGGACTAACGGTCCCGTGCACCTTCGTACACTTTAGCCACTCCCTTTTACAAATTAATCTTAGGCGTGGTTTATTGTAATGACAGATTAGACCACGTGTTTCTTTTTTTGCCTTTCAAAATTGATTTTCTATTTCTTGTTGCTGGATTTTACAATAAAGTGAGTCTCTATCACAGTGCCTAAATGCTCCACAGCTGCATACAAAATTACAAAGAGACTGCATCTAAGGAAAGTGCATCAATCTACATTCTAGACGTCTGGATCCGGATCATGAATAAATAATTAGCTGTGGAATCGATTAATACAAGTAAATAAAAAACATTAAAAATGGAAAAGTAGTAGGATTAAATTGTAAAAAAGTAAAGAAACAAGAGGGTACTTGCAAAGTGGTGTGATAACAAATCCTACACCACTGCATGAAAGATATTACCCAAAAGCATTGTAATTATCCACACAGGCTACTACATGATAAACTATGAAGCCATGTCTTTCATGCAATGGTGTAGGATTTGTTATCACACCACTTTGCAAGTACCCTCTTGTTTCTTTACTTTTTTACAATTTAATCCTACTACTTTTCCATTTTTAATGTTTTTTATTTACTTGTTTCCATTCTTTTTTCTTAAATTATAAAATTACTTTCTGTTATGATTATGTGGTTAGGTTAATCATATTCATGCTAATCACGTGCGCATAAATTAAAATGGCGTCAAACCACAAACCCACGCGGTGCTGCAGCTGGAATTTGTCTTCCATTGTTCTCTGTCCTTGCTTCTTTTTGAAGCCACATGTCCAGTCCTTGACTCAAGCTCAAAGGAATGATGTAAAAGCCAACTTGAACGGCTCTCTGGTTTAAAAGATTTCCGTGTTGATAGAAGAAAGATGAAAGAAGAAGAAGAAGAAGAAGAAAAAGTCTGAAGAATTTTGCAGAAATTTGAATTTGGGCCTATTCTCCAGAAATGCTCCGGCTGCATTACAGTCCACTCTAAAGGTACCAAGAGAATCGCTCAGTGAAGGAGAGCTCATCTAAGCCATTTATAAGGCTGTACAACGTAAGATAAAAGAGTTGTGAGTGTTTGAAAATCATAAAAACGGCCGCCATCTTGAAAAATCAACCTCAATCCTACATATAGGCTACCGCCTATATAATAAACCGAATAACCCGATGAATACAGATCTTATAATACCAGCTAGAGGGACCACCAGTCTTCACACTGTAGTCTGCTGGTCACTCAAGCCTGTCTTAGCAGGACATTCCTTTCTGGAAGTAATGATTTGTTAGTCAAAATAACAGTCTACAAAGAACACGTCTCTGCCTCTCTCTCCCTGCATCCAGTCATGATTGGAGGACCACTGCGAGCTCTGGTGAGTGAGAAGGAGAGCGAGCCTGAACACATGGCCCACTCAATCGCCTCATTCCCTCCAGCTATAGTTTTGTCTGGTTTGCCCTGGCCTTTCGCAGCAGCCCCGTTTCTATAAGAGTAGCTCAGTTATAATTTTTCTGATACCTGCCATGTGTGACAATGCAAAGTAGCTAGTGTGATACTTGTACATGCCTTATATTCATGACCTAAGCAGTAGTAGCAGGAGCTAGTATGAATAGTTTGTGTGTGACTCTCCCCTCTATCAGCCAGCACAACTCCTGGCAGCTATTGGTTGCACTACTGGGAATATATTCCATTGGCTACTCTAGTACCTGCCTCCTTTATGATAATGGCTATGCATTGAAAGCTGATAAGAGGCTATGGATTTCACCTCTTACACCTACATACTGACCTTGGTGAATTTGTAGTGCTCTCTGTTTTGTTGAGTTTTTTTGTAGAGTTATTGTAATACTAAGACCCCTCCTGCTATGATAATTTATTGTAACAACCGTTCTGGCTCTGGTACTTACTGAATCTGTATACATGTAGTCCATCTCTCCCTCCCCTCTCTCTCTCTCTCTCCTTATCCTTTTTTCTCCCTCTCTCTCCCTCCTCCTTTTTTCAGTATCTACATGTATAATACATGTACTGTAACTGATTCTGGTCTGCTTCATTTTTTGTTATTATTACTACTATTTAAGGTTTTTGGAATGTGTTTTGAATGGTTTCTCTTCTACACACACAGGTCACTTTGGTCATTCTTATATCCACCATCAAAACGAGTGGTTTCTGCACACCTGTCCCTTTGGCCTCTCTTCTCACTTTCTCTTCAAATGTTTATCACCTTTCAGTCTCCGAGGCAACTCCAGTAAGTCCTTAGCAACCCTATTGTCCTTACTAGAGGTGATGCTGGCTGGGGAGAGAATTGGAATGCTTATTTACATTGATACATACACATTACTGGTTTGATAATGAGTCTCACTTTCAACGTGTCCTCTTTTACTTTGCGCAAATGTTATTTTACATTCCTCTCTACACAGTACCCCCTTTCATCTCTCCACACGCACACATACCACCCACAAACCCGTTACTTGTATCTCTCTCTCTCCTTTTTCTATTTTTATAGATAGGGCAGGAAATTCTACAGCTCTCTGTTGTTGATAACACATCTCATGTACTTTACGAGATACTCAGTACTCAGTCCTCAGATGATGATTTCTATCTCTCTCCAAACGGGTTCCTTTACACTGCAAGGATGTTAAATAAGAGTCAGACTCCACTTTATAATCTTGCCGTCTCCGCCCGAAACACCCAACCTCTCTCTACCCCCTCGTATACCTTTGTCACTGTTGTAATAACAAATGATTCGGTTTTCTCTGAATCTGAGATTTTGGTACCACTGCATGGGAATGAGAGTGTCGGTCAGAACCTGTACACAGTGGAAGCCACAAGAGCTGATAGCTACCCATTTCAATATACAATCATTGGAGGCAGCAACGCTTTTCAATTTTTTACATTGAATTCCATGAGCGGACAGTTAAGCCTATCTTCCACTGTGAATTACTTTGGCTTCTTGGACCAATACAGGATTGTTGTTGAAGGTCGTAGCCTCTCTGATCCACTAGTATTTGGTAATGTCGTGATCATATTTTCTTTGTCTCCTAAGAATAGCAGTACGGGTGGGTTTACCAAAGAGGAGTATTTATTTACTGTGTCTAACGAAACTGCTATTGGCGAAGTGTTTGGTTATGTTTATTTGTCTGTCTGCAACATATCCAGTGACTCAATGAATTCCTCGCCACTAGCTGTGAACTATTCTATTACTAATGTAAGTGAAGAGAGAGGAAGAAGAGGAGGGAGAGAGAGAGGGAGGGAGAGAGAGAGGGGGGAGGAGGAGAGAGGGAGGGAGAGGGGGAGAGAAAGAAACATATAATTTATGTATTAAAAGAGAGAGGAGGTTCAGGGATTATAAGGAATTTATGTCAATAAAAGTAAATGAAGCAAGAAAGATGAGCAACAGACCAAGAGAAAGGAGAGAAAGAGAGCCCATAATGTTATTGTACCATTGGTGGATGCTAATAGTAGGAGGGAGTGAGAAGTTGTGTCATGAATGGGAGCAGTCTAATGCATGGGAGGGGGTGAGAAAGCCCGTTATTATACATCCTCAATGACTCTCAATGTGTGGTAAACAATACATCAATTAATGGGCTCTAGGGAGTTGGCTATATTCTTTAGCTGATTTTATTAGGCATCAGCCTCCCATTTATGGTTCCTAACATTGTAGCTATTTACTAACCTGATAACACACTAACGGCTGGTTTACAATATGTCATTAGGCCAACTTACTGTCAGCTTTTAATCAAAAGCATAAGCAATTTGATCTTTTGACGCATGCTTTTCACTAGAATAGAACCAGATTCTATTCCAGTGTCAACGTAATATTAGGACTAGCCTAATATTTTAAACCAGCCTTTACTTCAATGGATGAGGATTGGTTGATATACAGTGACTCAGTTGTGAGGGTTTTGTTTACATTGTTAATGTGTGCATGGGGGCTGTCTTATGGTATGTCAATCATCACTGAACCTCAAGCAACCCAATTCACCTTACAATAAATAATTCGTTTAGTACATGTACATGTACGTGCATGTATATCGGATATTGTACGTGCATGGTAATTGTGCTAATCTTATTGTACTGTATAACATGTACATGTAATTATTAATTTTAGAAATTTATTGTCTGCTTGGCTCAAAGACACATGTATCGTTTGGCAGTTTATGATGTTAGTAATTTGATACCTATGCCCTCTGCCATCAATGCAAAGCCGAGTTGTTGTCGTATTATTAGTTCAGTCACTCTGATTTCTTATTACAAGGCAGTAACACTAAAATATAATGTTTTTAAGACTAAACACTAGTAACACTGTACACAGCGATAAAGCCGATTCCATTGTATTCTCCTACTTTGTTTAGACCTGTACCATTGTAATATATTTTTGTAGTTTTTACTCGACTTGTAAGCCTGTGTTGCTCGTTATTGAAGGTATCTTTAATGTGTATTAATGAAATTTGATCTATTGCAATTGTACCAAGTTTGATAGTGTATATAACAATTGAATTGAATTTGAATCATATAGTTATCATACTGCACATGTACTTGTGTAAATGTACATTGTGTACTTTATCATGATTCTGGTAAGGCAGGACTGTCTGCCAGAGGCTTTATTAGATTTCTATTTGTGATCCTGGAAATTATATATGGAAAAGATAGTAAAGAAATATCAAATGTGCTCACACCTCACGATTTCTGTACTACCACAGCCTACGTGTATCATTTTAATTATTGCTAATATTATTGCTAGTGTATTAATGCTATATTTGTGTGCGATATAAAATGTTATTTGTTTTGTCTCTTTGGTTTATTATTCAGACCTCATGCTGCATGCATAACATAAGTATTATTATGACAAATATTGCGATATTATAGGATGTAGTTCATCATTCTGTATGGTGCATGGTGTGTACAATATGTCTGTGTACATTGTAGCAACAGTAGCAGTTTGAATGAGAGTGACACCTGTCCCTTTTATCGAGTGATTTTCACTTTGTCTCTTGTTGTAAAGAGAATAGACTCCAATGATTATGGCATGTGATGAGCATGAGGTAGTATGAACATAAAATCCACCTCTTCTATTATAAATATGAATCTATTAAGATTATGAACATACATGTATTTACATTTGTAGATCTGTGGTAGATATTTGACAGATGTGCTAGTATTTATTGTACATTGTGCTTAGCATATTTGGCAGATCTGATTGGTAATATTTTGGCTATACACGACTACATGTAGTTTATTATTATGCATGTTTGTAAATATGTATGGTCTTGGTTGAGAAGTTAAAAGGGGCATGTTTTACATGTACATGTACACACAGAAAGATGATTTACATGTATTTATTATTATGTATTGTTGTGTGTTGTGTTTGATTACTGGAATTCTTAATAATTGAGTATTTACTTCCTCTCTCTCTTCCTCTCCTCTCTCTCCCTGTAGTCTGATGATGTTCAAATTAATCCAGTGACTGGTGGCCTCTCCTTTGTCTCTCTCCCTCGTAATGGAAGCATTACTAATCTCACTGTAATAGCAGTGACTCGTAGTGGCTCCTCGTTTTCTGCTAGCGTCACAGTAGAGCTTGAGCCTACCAGGTACGTAATGGAGATAGAAAAGAGAAGCTACATGTATGTTGTTTATATTGATGATGGACCGACTGATGGGAGGAGTACTGTATTGACTAGGATTGATGGTGGGGGCTGTAATAATTATACAATACTGGCAGGAGATTGTGTGAGTTATACATGTACATGTACATGTACATGTATGTGCATGTATGTGAGGGAGGGAGAGAATAAAGTGCATGAAGATAGAAAGGAAGATATAAGGCCAGGGGGTTAAGGTATGGTACCTAATGTGTAGGAGATGTCCTTACATTCTAACGAAGGGAATAAATTAAATTTCCCTTTCCCACTGCATTGTATATACCAACTTTGAACTAGATACACAAAACAGATGCAATAGGAGTGCCTTAAACTAATAACCCATGGCACCTTCTCTATGTAATTTATACATTAGTATGACGTTTTTAATGTATTACATGTACAACAGACTTGTGCAAGAATTCTTTATTAGTACAATTCTAATTAAATTACATCATGTTGTAATTATGTACATGTTTTATACATGTGAGCATCTTCCTTAGTGTGTGGTTTAAATTTGAATGTGATCTGTTCGTGATCCATTGAGTGCTAGTAGTAGTAGTAATGTACCTGTACATGTATTGACACATACCAATCACTGATCCATGTAACAGCAGATGAGTAGGTACAACTTATGGACTATAGTAATGAAATAATAATTATAATAAAATTAATTAATAATAAGGACACTTAGATGTACATGTACGAAGCTTTTATTGTTGGTATTTTTTTATTGAGTATAGCCTAAAGGTCTTTTAATGATTAATGCTTGTACATGTACATGTTGATCGTGAGTTCATTGAAATCAGTTGTTATTATTAAGATTTGCTAGTTAATTGACCAACACTTTGAAGATTTATATATCAGTCTAAACAAAACACATGGTGTCTGTGTGTGCATGTACATCATACATGTACTTACATGTACATGTACATTAGGCGGCATTGTCACTTAGTAACTTACTGCTATGTGACATCTAGGTACATGTACCTGTAATAATGTACATATTAGTGTTGTTGTAGTACCATAATTTTATATAGTTCTAGTACTAGTTCTAGAACTGGAGTTTGAAAAAATTTAGTTCTAGTACTAGTTCCGGAACTAGAGTTTGATAAAGTTTAGTTCTAGTACTAGTTCCAGAACTAGAGTTTGATAAAGTTTAGTTCTAGTACTAGTTCTAGAACTATAGTTTTATAAAGTTAGTTCTAGTACTAGTTCTAGAACTAGATTTCAATAAATTTTAGCTATTGTTCTAGTTCTAGAGCTAAGTTATAGTTCTTGTATTTGTTCTGGCAATAGAGTTTAAGAAGCTTAGTTCTAATTGGAAATAATTTCTAAATGCTGCTTCTTTTTGCTTCTGCTGTCATGCTTTCACTGCTTAGCTTTGAACTGAACAAGTATTCAAAAGTCTATTGATATATAATTTATGTCTAAGTAACAAATTCATACATTATTTGTTATTCAGTCTTTGTTATGTACTAAAATATTTCACTGACAAATTAGTACCTTCTTTGTCAACTAATATTGTTCTACAATTCTAGTTCCAAACTAGTTCTAGTACCACAAGAGAATGTACTTTTAGTTCCAGTTTAGTTCTAGTACTGAGACTCTGGCAAAGTTTAGTTCCAGTTTAGTTCTAGTACTACAAGTCTTGTATAAACTAGTTCTAGTTTAGTTCTGGTTCTTACATTGGTTGTAAAAATAGTACTAGTTCTAGTTCTTAGAACTAGAACTATGAAAAAAAGGCAGTACTAGAATTGATTTAGTTCTAGTACCAAGGAACTACAACAACACTAGTACATATGTACATGTGGTAAGAAATTTTGCTATTGCAAGCGCCCCATTAAACATGTGCATGTACCAGCATGCCAGTTTCACTCACCCATAAACCCTTTTAACACACTGTGTGTATGTACATGTACAAGTCTATTTGTATGATGCACTTATATGGAACAGTTGGGACTGTATATTCTTCTCTCTCCTTCCAGTATGGTCTATTCTCCATTGACCCTGTATCCGGTAACCTCACTATCCATCCTTCTCCTCTCTCTCCCTCTGCTTATTCACTGGTTGTGGGCGTCTATTGTGGCAAGTTCCTCAGTTATATTAGTGTTGAAGTGAGAGTGTTGGACGTTAATAATCCACCGGTATTTGATCAAAGAATCTACAAGGTACTACTGATGTGTACATGTACATTGAATTTAGTGCTGAACTAATTTTTAAAAGTATTTTGTATCCTGTATGCTACCTGTGTCTATTTTAGTCAATACTAATAATGGATGTGATACGTTTCAGTTACATGTAATTCCAAAATATGAGCATTTTTAAAACTTGCAAATTTTTGATTTTGTAAAATTGGCTCCGAGATCACCTCCAATTGTTATTAAATTTTTGATACACATTGATGTACTTGTGCATGTACCTGTATGCTATGTAGAAAGTTTGAGCTGATTCCAACTTGAGTGCATCAAGACGTGACAAGAACAAACTTAAGTTGTTCTATTAATAAAAGCACAATAATGTGTTGTTTATTTAATTAGGTGTGTGTGTGTATGTAGTCAAATCTGTGTTATCTTTTGGAAATGCCCAAACATTGTGACACTAATCACTTTACATGTACATATACATGTGTCATTTCCTGATTATCAGTGTTTCTAAAACTCTGTCATTTTATTCAGTAAACAATATTTAAGATAAATTGTTTGAAATTTGAATTTCTGTACATTAACATTCATTAATGTACAGAACTACATATAACTAAAGTCCATTTGTGTTCACCTGAGCCCTTGTTTTCTTGCAATAACTTTTGACTTACAAGTTTTATTGTAAAAATAAACATACTAGTGCATTCCTCTCCTTTTGCCGCATCTATTGTACTACTTAAGAAGCAGCTTTAGCTCTTTAGCTCCAAGTTGGTTGTATAACCCATGCAAAAAGTACAGCCATACTTTTCACAATATTATTGCATTGTGTTAATTATTGGGTGGGGTTTCTAATCACTTCCTGGGCTCAGGTGAATGCAAATGGACTTTACATATTGTTATTGTCAAGCACTTCATGTACATGTACATGACTACATGTACATGTTCATAGTGAGAGCTTAAACATGTATTAAAATTACAAAATAAAAAATGTGTTTGCCTTCTATATTTGACGATAATTTTTAATATTGGAGTTACATGTACATGTACATGTACATTACGCAATGTGCATATGTTAACACTGTCACATTAATAATCTTTATTCTTTAGGTAACAGCAAGATCCAGTACACCTCGTAATACTAGACTATTAACTCTTACCTACTCTGATCTGGATGACCCAGGATCATCAAACGGTACAACTCATCTCAGCTCAACCTCTCTACCATCCTTCCTTCGTCTCTTGCCCAACGGAGAGCTACTTCTAATTAATGCCCTCCCAAGCATTGCTAAACCCTGGGAAACAAGCTCGTATAATTTTAGCGTAGTTGTGAGCGATGGGGGCAGCCCGAGTCTGTCGTCTACAGCTGAGGTTGTAGTAATAGTTATTAATGACATTATGCCTCAGTCTATCTCATTCTCTCGTTCCTTCTATTCTGGTAATATTACTGAAAACTCACCACCAGGTACTCCAATCCTCTCTTTATCACTGAAAAACCCTCAAGTACCGCGTCATCTTGAAATAACTTACAAGCTTATTGGCTCTCCTGATGTCCTGGCGTACCTGACCATCAGCCCATTAGGACTCTTAGTCTCTTCTTTGCCAATAGATCGTGAGAGATATCCATCACTCACTGCTAGAGTGGTGGCCGAATATAACAAGTCCATCCACACTGAAGCTACAGTCAGTATCACTGTATTGGACCAGCCTGATACCACTCCTGTGTTCTTACAGGAGTATTACACTGTTAGTGTTCAAGCTCCCCTACCAGTTTCCAAGGGGCTATTAGTCCTCAATGCCATTACTCAAGATTCTTCTCCTATCACTTATTCACTGGTTGGTAGTAGTGACATATTCACACTCAACTCAGCCACTGGTTCCCTTGATACTCTAACTGAACTATCAGCTCCTAATAGTTATACTCTATTAGCTAAAGCCACTTCATCATCAGGTCTTTACAACACTGCACGTGTACATGTACGTGTTTTTGTGGGGCCTAGTCGTCCTCAACTCCGCCCATCCTCACTCTTCTTAAGTACCTTTAGTTATCTGTTGCCATCAGTTTCTCTTCTCGGCGATTTGGGAACTTTTGTCAACGGGCAAAGACGGAATGGATTTGGTTTGTCGTTAAACCCATCATCATGTTCTGCTGATAAGTATTTTAGGATAACTGAAGGTTCCCTGTATGTGCTCAACACTATCACTAGTGGTAGCCATCAGCTTAACATATCAGTGACTGATGGTAGAGTGATCTGGTCTGAGACTATAACTGTATATGCTAATCTACTCACTAATGATTCTCTTGATCACACTCTCTCTCTCGCTCTTCCTAATCTCTCCCTCGATCACTTCCTGGGGAGGTTTCTCTCTCCTTTTCGCTCGGCTCTCTCCCACATGCTGTCCTGTATGCACGAGTGCCTGCATATCATTAGTGTTGATGAGCTACCTGGAGCCCGTGGTGTTAAAGTAGTCATTGCTGCCAAAGAAAAGGATCTAGTCACGTACAAGTCAAGTCTAGAGCTAAGGAGGACAATAGAAGCAGAGATTGGGCACATTTCCTCTGCATTAAGTTGGACAGTAGCAGTCATGCTTGATTCTTGCTCCTCGTCTCCTTGTCCTAATCCATTACGCCAATGCTCTCCTTATGTCTCTCTTGCTCTCCCTCACAAGACCATCACCTCACAGTCTCTCCTAGTGAAGTCCCTATCATCAGCCTCCGCTCATAAATGTGTCTGCCCTAGAGGATATGATTCCAAGTGTACATCAGAGCTAAACGAATGCGAGCCCTCCCCTTGTGACTATGACGCTGTCTGTACTGATCTTATCAATGACTACCATTGCTCCTGTCCTCCATTCACCTTTGGTAAGAATTGCTCCACTCCGTGTAGATTCAGCGCTCCCTGCAGTGCCTGTTCCCCTAACCCATGCCTCAATGGTGGCTCCTGTAGCATACAGAGTGAGGGGACTATTTCCTGTACTTCTTGTCCAGCTGGATATACTGGCCCACTCTGTGAGTTGACTGTGGCGAGGGTCTCTGGGGCAGGAGGGGCTAGTCTGGAGCCGCTGGGGAGGCAGAGGGAGGTCGAGTTTAGTTTTGATTTTATTGGAGTCCAACCGAATGCTATGCTGCTTCATGCAGGTAAAGAGAGAGAGAGAGAAATAGAGGGAAATGGAGAAGAGAGAGGATAATAATTTTTTAATTTAAATATTTTGTCTATCTTTTCTCAAGAAATGTTTGTAAGATTGAGAAGTTAAGTTATTGACCTTACAAAATTTGATTGCTAGAGAATAAAAATGATTTAGTTCATAGTCATAACGTACCTTCTTTACAAACACTATTACACACAACATGTACATGTACATGTATTATTATCATCATCCTTTCTTACAACAGGGCAACTTAATAATGGTGAAGACTACATAGCAATAGGTTTGGTCCTTGGTAACCTACAGGTTAGTGTGAGGTGGGGGAACTGGTCAGTTAGGACTACACTATCCAGTAAGAATGGTTCTTTGAATGATGGACAGTGGCACTCTGTGGAATTCAGATTGAATGACATGGTAAGGCACGATTGTTTATTATCAACCAATTACATGTACATGAAGTGTCAGCATATATACTCGTATGTATACTGCATATTAAGTTTATAAATGATGTTTACAAGTATGTGTATGTACAATTTCACTGTCTTTATCTTTCATTTCTCTCCTTTTAAGACTCTTGATATTGTCCTTGGTAATTGCATTGAGTCAGAAGTTATCCTCGAACGTGACATAGTCAACTGTTCTGTATCAATACCAGTTCAGACCTCATCAAAGTAAAGAGCATGAATAATAATTGCATTCTTTATTGTTATGGCAATAATTGTGTCATAGTATTGCGTGTGTTTAATAAAAATTATTTTATGCTTCGTGATGCTAAACAAACGATCCTTCCTTATTTATCTGTTGTCTCCCTTCCCCCTTACCCTCTCTGACCTTCATATGTGATACAATGTGATACAATATAACATATACATCTAAATACATTTATATTAAACTAATGCATTATTATGTAGCATGTACATTCAGTTCATCATAACTGCATACTTCAGTCCTTAATAGTGTACACAGCAGATAAGACACACCATACAGATGTTCATATATGCCTCCAATAATCTGCCAGGAATTTTGTTAGTACATACTTATGGAGAGAATTTAAAAACACAATAACCCAAATTCCTTAGCACATATCATGCTTGTACATGCATTCTATATACGTGTAGGACATTGCTTTAATTAGTATTACTTGTACATTGCATATTATATAGTAGTACAGTGTTTAGTAGTACTTATATGTGTTTGAGTAATACATGTACCTACGTGGTCACTGTACATAGTACAGGTAGGTGTTTGTATAAATGGTGGGAGAGCATGTCTATCACTAGTGAATGGGTAATGAGGCAAGTCAGACTTAATTGTCCTTGAAATTGTTTCTGCCAATCCCTCATACTCACCCACACACTGAGAATCACTCATTAATGCATTATTTACTATTGTGGGTATTGGATCACTTACACACCATTATGTCAACACAGTGACATGATATGGACTGGAGATAATTAATGTGATTATTATTATCAGTACTGGTCTTTATCTAACTGCCTCTCTTTCTCTCCCTATCTCTTTGAGTAATTACATGTTCATACTTTGCTTAAAATGTTATTCTCATGTCAGACATGTATGCAATTGTACATGTACATGTACATGTATGTACATGTATAGACTTAAATGCATGTATATGCCTCTCAAAAATTGCTCATGAATTTAAATTGTAGCAAGAGTGGATAATCATTCATTCCTGATTATAGATTATGATCCAATCAAACTTTCTACGTATATGTACATGTACATGCATACGTAACATGAAGGTATCAATGTGTATTAGAATGCATTTTGTATTTAGTAAAACTTTTTGAGTCAGTTTTGGTCAAAATTTAAAATGCTCGTATTATTTAGGATCATAAATTTGGACTCGTCTCTCTACCTCTTCAACTCTCTTGGAGAATCCACCAATCAGATTCCCTCGCTGGCCCAGTTCACCGGTTGTCTCAGCAACGTAAAAATTGGCGGAGAACGAAACGGCAAACTAGTCGATTTTTCGAGCGTCCCCACCCACCCTGGGGCCAGTCTATTACCAGGCTGTCCTCAGTCCTCCAGTTCATGCCAGTCAAGCTGTGGTGGTGATGGCAAGTGCATTGAATTTTGGAATGGATCCCGTTGCCACTCTGATAGTAATGATGCTACAGAGGCAATTTCATTTGATGGGTCCTCTTCCTCCAGTTATGTAGTGAGTTCTATCTCTGCTGGTACTTCTATGTCGTACTCATCTCCATTTAATGTCATGAATATTTCCTTTGATATGAGGACACTCCAGGATGGATACACTCATGTACTAGCTATTGGTGATAAAGGAGATCTTGAGGTAAGGTTATACATGTACATGTACGTGTATTTATCACTTGGTATATAATGGAAAATTACATGTCGCTATAAATATGCAAAAATTGAAATTGCAAAATTTTGTATCTTTGTCGTATAGTTTGTGATGTACTTGGGAATTTTTGTAAAATTTTAGAATTGCCGATTTGTAAAAATTTTGCAATGCACATACATGTACATTACATGTATATATACATCATGTACATGTATGTATTGTTAGTCTATTAAAATTAATGTGTAGTTTTGGTAATTTTTGTTTTATTGTTTTCTTTGCTGTGTTATATTTTTCTAGCTATTCTATGGGAGCTTAATATTCAATTATCGTCCCTCCTCTCCAATGCTCCGCCCACTCTCATTAACAGCTGATGCCCGAGTCAATGACGGCTACTGGCACGGAATCAAACTATCATTCTCATCCTCTCTCACTCGCCTCTCAATTGACGATGAAAGGATCGTCGCCGATAGCAACCAAACCATAACCATAGCAACCTCCAGAGTGGAGTTAGGTGGGCGAGAAGGCTCTCACAGTAGAAGTTATGATGGCTGCATTAGGAATTTAAGAATAAACTCTGAAACTGTTGACGATGATAATTATAATGTTACGTTGATTGGGACTGTCACTGGTTGCTCTAATAAAAGCCCATGTGACTCGAGCTCTTCTTCATACACTGGGTGTCCAGCTAATAGTTACTGTATTGAAGGATGGAGGGCCTCCAGTTGTATGTGTGACAGCAGCAGATCCTATTTTCATAATGGAGGGACTTGTGTCCAGCCTTGCAACCAGCCAGTCAACTGCTTACATGGAGGGACTTGTAATTTTAATTTTTATGAGGATGATGGTAATAAAGGAGAGGAAGAGTGAGAAAGATCAGAGAGAGAGAGAGAGAGAGTGATACACATGTTCTTGCATGTAAATTCTGCTGGCTGGTGGTTGCAATATAAAAGCTGCTTATAATGTTCTGTAATAAGTTTTTTCTTCATTCTTCTCTCCCTGTTCCTCTCCTTTTAGGATTCACTTGTGTATGCGCAGCTCCATATGTTGGTCTTGATTGTCAGATAAATTTAGGGAGTTCGTGCAGGATTGGTTTCTTTAGAGCACCAGAAGAATGTGTACCGTGTGCCTGTGATAGAGAAGGAACCACTTTTGATATATGTAACAGGGATGGTGTCTGTCAATGCAATGTAAGCCTATTATGATATTACCATACCATATGGGGTTTATCTGTATGTGTTTGTGAGGAATATCTTATATGTTTTCTGTTCATTCAAGTTAGTATTTGCATGCATATACCCAAATACCGTATAGCTCCAAATTTTCGTCAAATTTGTCAGGTACTTTTGCTTGACGAAATTTTTAATCAACGAAATTTTTGTTCCACATGGGTAGCATGCAGATTAATAACAAAAAGGATGAAAATTTTTATTGACGAAAATTAATTTTAACAAGAAATTAAGATTTTGACGAAATTTTTGACTGACGAAAATTTGGAGCTATACGGTACTATAGTATTGTTATTATCTTTACTTATTTTTAATGTTATTGTTGTTAATGTTTTTTTGTGTAGCCTGATATTGCTACTTATGGTTCTGATTGTAAACCTTGCAATTGTAACAGAACTGGCTCTAACTCAACTGAAGTACATGTACATGTAAGTACCAAATTGTCAAGAAACTATCTTATTTGTTCTGTTTCTTTTTTCTTTCTATTCTCTTTCTTTCCCCTTTCTCTCCCTCCCTTTCTTCCTTTAGTGTGATGATAATGGAAAGTGTCCATGCAAGCCTGGGGTTACTGGGGATCATTGTGATTCTTGTCAGACCGGTTTTGTAGGTTTTGGTCCCGAAGGCTGCAGAGGTACGTGTACATGTATGATTGCCAATATCATTAATACAATAAAAACGAGTCCAATGAATTCATTTAATACATGTTATTTGTAGTTTATAAAAATTATTATTATTATTATTATTGTTGTTGTTGTTGTTGTTATTTTAGAGGGTGTTCTTGTAAGTGGTTCCTTTGTCATTGATAATTTATATTATGCCAATGGTGATGATACTTCCAATCAGTTTATAAAGGAAGAGGTATAAATATTATCCTGATATTATCACATAGTGATTGTATTTTTACAGATTCTAAGAGAGCTTGAGAGTTTTGTACTACCAACCACACTGGAGCTGAACCTCTCTCTATCAAACAAGTACTGTATAGTAGGAAATTTTGGAGGGAGTTAAATTTTGCCAAAATAGAAACCTGCCAATTTGAGCCATTATGCTCAAGCACGTGGCCACAATTTTCCAAACTGAAATTTGATGATCCACAAAATTCAGCAATTTACCTAAATTTAGTCCCTTCAAGTTTCCTACTATTATAGTCTACCGATACAGTATTTAATAATAATTATGATGATGATTAGATACATTATACATGTATGTGTGAAGCATTTTAGTCCATTTGTGTATTTACTTGTAGATGCAGTAAATCTTGATTTAAAATTCTATGAATATCAAAAAATTCCTTCTTGGATTTCTTTAATACATTTATTATAGTTTGTGTGTATGGAGCTGCTTTAGCATTATTTTTTTCTTTTTATTTTAGTTATAATGTAACTGCTGTCATGTACAATCTTGTCTCAGACTCTAAGGCCGGCCTCATCTCCACTCACTTCCTTGGATCAGTAATGCAGACAGTAATGGGGAGGGACTGCATTGGGAGATATGAGATAAGGAAGAATTCTCATGATTTTAATGGTGAGCCAAATAAATACCCTAGTAATACTTAAAGTCAGAGAGGTATCATTAACATATTATTTTTTCTGTTTGTTCCTCTTTCTCTCCTTTCTCTCTCCCTCCCTTTCTCTCCATTAGCTGATTGTTCATTATGCGATCCAATGGCTGATTGTACTAATTCCTCTATCTGTGAGGACTGTCCTAGTGGATCATACCTTGATGATCCTATAATCTGCCGGTCTTCGTTGCCACAAGTACAAATTACATTAATTTATCATCATGCGATCATCACATGACTTATAGGGCTGCTCTGGCCTTGATACAGATCAAGATGGTTTCCCTGATGCATGTGATTCCTGCCCCTACTGGTTCAATCCTAGGCAGGACTATACACTGCCTTGTTCTGAGACTTCTACCGAGAGTTGCCCGAGAGAGAAAGCTGGGGATGTTTTGTGGAGTCAAACGGATAAAGGAAGAGTTGATTCAAGGGAATGTCCTACACCTCTTATTGGTATGGGCTCTATAATTTATCAATACTACTGTAGCGTAATCAGTGATACATAAATATATACCATACAAGATGACTTATTGGCAAAGAATTAATATATTGGTGATTGGTAGTTCTATGAACAAACTGCCAAAGTAAAACCTGCCATTTTTGTTTCATCTGAGCATGCTCAATGGCACATGGTACAAAATTACCAATGTATAAAATTTGCTGATTAACTTTCCACAAGCAAATTCACCAAAATATTTATCTTGCCAATTTCATTAATTTATTATTAATTATAATTTCAGGTATTGCCACTCGTCAGTGTAGCTCTGATGGAATGTGGCTGGAGCCAAACTTTAATAACTGCATGACATTCACTGGAGTCCAACTGAACTCTATAGTAAGAAATCACATCATTGACTATAATAATAAAATTGAGTTGTTTTTTTAATTTATTACTAAAAAAATTTTTTTTTCCCAGTTACAAGACCTAACAGGAGAGCCTCCTTCTGATCAAAATGAAACCATCGCAGTATCCATCAAACTGGAGAGTGTCCTCTCCTCATCCCCCAGACTGTACTGTCGGGATCTTGATAGTGCAGTCTTCATACTAGCCAAGATCCTCAACCTTGACACGCTCCTCCCTCTCACCTCCTCTGGGCTCAAACCTCTAGCTGAAGTACTCGGACTTTTGGGTTCTTCAAAACTAGCAGAAGTATGGGAGGAGACCGGGTGTAACGCTGGTATAATATTGAATCTGACAGAGCACCTTGGGGTCCTGAGTGCATCCAGTCTTTCCATTGGGGAGAGTTTGACTGTTGAAGGAGATGGGTTGAGTATGAGTGTCAGTGCTTATAATGGTAGAGTGTATAGTGGGTATGAATTTAATGTTAATGGTAGTACTGCTACTGGAGTTAGTGTACCCAATGGAGTTATACCACTAGCAGGTTAGTATATTAGTATTATTTTTTCATTTGTAATTATGTATATGATTCTATAATGTAGATTTGTATTTTTAATGCAGTGATAGAGCTGAAATTATACTAGTGTCATTAATAATTGCATTATCTACTCTTGAAAATTATAATTTTATATAATAGCAATTACAATGTAATGGTACATTGTATCTGTAATAAAAACTCATTGGTGCTTTTTGTTAATTATTAGTACATGTGCATTAATTGCATGTATTTTTTATTTATTTTTAGATAATGATAACTTTTCAATCTCATTGACTCATTATTCCGATCTCTCCCTCTCTCTCCCATACACTGACCTATCACCTGATGCTATTGTTGGATCACCAGTCTGGTCTATACAACTGTTAATGAATGGTGGGCGTGTCACACAATTAGCCACACCCATTAACATTACTTTCCCTCATCCAATTGAAGTGAGTGTGTGTATCAAAAAAAATAATTTTATAATCAGCTCAAATAGTTGATGTGTATTATAAAATGAAAAACTAATCATGGCCTCTAGTTCATGCATGCTTTAAAAAAATTAGCTCATTTTAAAATGCTCATAATTCCAAAATTTGTTGTCGGAATCCACTCAAACTCTCTATCAAAGGACATCAATGTGTATCAAAATGTGATAAAAAATTGTTGCTAGTGGAGCTCATCTACATGTATACAAACATTTAAAAATTTTGTGCCACTCTTTTTTATAGTTAAATTCCAGTTTAACGTCTCTCTGTGTCACTTGGAATGCAACACGGAATAAGTGGGTGGAGTCTGGTTGCCAGGCAACCGTAAACAATCCCAACTCAACAAGCTGTTCCTGTCCTCATCTCTCAGACTTTACTGTATTGATTGTCCCTTATGAAGAAGTTAGTAACTACTGTACAAGATGTTTTATTGGCGAGAGTAATATTTGGCAAATTTTCCTGTAGAAAGTTATTGGCAAATTTTATATTGGCAATGTTGTGCCACATGCTATTGAGCATGCTCAGTTTGAAACAAAATGGCAGATTTTATATTGGCGATTTCTTCATAGAACCACCAATTGCCAATATTAATTCCTTGCCAATAAATCATCTTGTACGGTATTGTAATTTTATTGTTTCTCTTTCTCTTCCCCGCTCTCTCTCCTCTTTTTTAGACCCCCACTCCTCCAACGCTCCAACAAAATTTAGATTATTTGTACTACATATCAAATTCTGTGACAATAATCTTCATTGTACTACTCATGGCAATCCTCTTCTGTGTTTACTGCTGGTGTAGAAGCACAGTTAATGAGAAAAGCTACTTTTCCATAGCATCACTCCAACTGTTGTTTGTAGTAGCATCTCTGTACATTGTGTTGTATCTTATTGAGCTGACCCAGAGCTCTGTTTTATGTATTGTGATTGGATTAGTGCTAGAGTGCCTCGTGTTAATCATTGCTTGTTTGTTTGTGATGTCTCTCTTGATTGTTTTGCTATCTTCCAGTGATAGATTTAAACTCTCTCACTTTGTCAGTCTAAATTTATTGGCTTTTGGTAAGTTTGTGTGCTGTAATTTCTAATTGTTCCCCCCTGGTCATGATTATTTAAATTGAGCTTGGTGTATTCATCACAGTCTTTATCATTAATTTTTTGTCATAATCAGACTCAACCTTGCTGTATTGTCTTTTCTCTGTATTATCTTTATCCCTCACCCTTTCTTTCTGGTCTTCTCTTTTCCCCTCCAGTTATTCCACTGATGTATGTGGCTCTACAAACTGTCATACTCTACCTAACCCACTCCAGTCTTTCTGATGCATTCACTTATCCTGACATCTGTTGGATTAGACCATCTCTCTATTACTATCTCTTAGCACCACTTCTTCTAGTAGCTTTGGTATGAGCTCATTGTTGTATTGAATCGTATCAAAAATTGATATTCCTTAAAACCTTAATTCTTATACTGTATAGCTAGAATCTTTTGTGGCCCAAAATATTTGTGAATTTTGCAACCTATTCAAAATTCATGAAAATAAAATCCACAAAATGATTCAACATGGCCAAAAGGCTGAAAATTGTGAAAATTAAAACCCCAAAATAGATTTTTGGATGAATTTGTAAAATTTTTGTCCATGAAATTTTTCACTATATGATACATGTTATTATTTGACCTCTGACACTCTCTCTCTAGGTATTTGTTTGTCTTGTTCTGTACACAATATTGCACCTCATTCGTGCTTCAAAGGATCAGTCACACATTCAAAATCGAGTGAATGCCACCCTCTTCCTTGTGTTCTTGTTTATATTCATTGTCATTAATCTATCATTCACTATGCTGACCCTACACAGCATTCAGTGGTCCCCTCCATTTAGCACTGTCTTCAGTCTCATTGTCATCTTGTCAGTCGTGACCTCAGCAGTCCTTATCTTCACTGTTCTATGCTGTACTAAACGACCTAAAATTTTCAAGCTTAATATTGAGAGCGGATCTTCCGAAGCTGCAAAGGAGTTTCAACAGTACTCCAACAATTCATCATGTATTGAAGATGAGAATACGCAACCTATTTATCATACGATTGGCAATCGTACTGAAGAGCTCTACCAGGAACCTGTACCTGTACCACCTATCAACCAGTTGAACCCAGGGTTTCAGGCTTCAAGTATCCCTGAGTATCACGAACTTGAGCAGCAGGGGGATGGTTCTAATTCTGATTCTGACTCTGAAAATGAGATTGATGTTGATGTTGAAGCATTGCAACAGCAGACAAGAGAAGAGAGAGAGATAAGGGAAAGGAGAGAGAGCAACAGAAGAATAAGTGCACGACTGGAAGAGGAGAAGAGAAGGAGAAGTGCAGGAGATGAAAATATATCTAGTATTACTGATCCTCAGCAGCAAGAGGCTTGGTTCAATACATTAGATCCTTCTAGTTTATGTGCCCCAGCAGCTCCTGTAACATATGCCAATGGAACACAGTTGCATGCTGATTCTCCCATATCAACAGATGCTCATGAACTTGCAGACCTTCACAATGAAATTGATAACTTGTATCAGATGAAATCAGCTGTTTTGAAAGAAACTGTCCTCACTGCTGATACTTCTAGTGGGGACTATGTCGATCTTAAAGATGATACCCCAGCTGTCAATAATAACTGGTATGAGGACGGCTCATCTTCAAGTAATCATCGTCCTAGGGATGTGACTGACAATATGTATGCTAACGCTACCAATACTTCTCCATTTGATGATGCTCAGTATTGCACTGTTAGTGAAGCCAGGCAGTATACACCTGATGTACCAAGAAGGTATGATTACAAACTAGTGTAAAACTACCTGTAAAACTCACCTTATATTCTGCAAAGGATCAGTTTTCAATGTATATTACTGAGTGAACTTTAGTGCCTAATTTATTGTATATTAAAAGCTGTCTTGCTATTAAGTTTGAGCTGATATAGTTTAATTTTTGTTATTTCAATTTCTTAAGGTTTAGCCTCCAGAATCAAGCACAGCAGTATAGTTCTATTGATCAATTGCCTCCACAACCTCCTCCCATGCAGCAGTTTGCTGATCACACTTATCAAGCCATCAGAGGACAAAATTCACCAAAGTAATCATAGACTAAAGCCCATTTGCATTCACCTGAGCACCTCATTTTCTTGCTATACTTTTGACTTACAGATTCTATTGTAAAAAAATAAGCATATACCAATGCATTCCTCTCCATTTGCCACATCTATTGTAGTACTTTAAGCCTGGTTTACACTCGCCATAAAACGCAACGCAAATGAACACAAAATTAAAATTTGGCCAATTTTTTTTAACTTCAAAGCGTTTTTGCGTCAAAAGATCAAATTGCCCAAGCCCTTTTGACCGTTTTGTCAAATGTAACCTCGGCTGTAGCTCTTTAGCTCCAAGTTGGTTGTATAACCCATGCAGAAAGTACAGTCATACTTTTCACAATATTATTGCATTGTGTTAATTATTGGGTGGGGCCTGTAATCACTTCCTGGGCTCTGGTGAATGCAAATGGATTTTAATCTAGTTTGGTTGATTTTAGAGTTGCTCAAAAATGGGACAAAATGCTTAGTTACCAAAGTTTTTTTGGGTATTTGTAAAAAAAATTGCTAAAAGAGGATTTTCCATGCATCTACATGTACTTATAGGGCCAAATTTTGCCAAAAATGTCTAAGAGGTAAATCTCCATTTTTATAATTTTTGATGCATTTACATGTACATGTATTTAACTACGTAAGTTACTTAGAAATTTTGAGCTCATTCCAATTAAAATTTGATTTTTACAAATTTTTGAAGTGCTTAAAAATTGAGCCAAAGGCTGTCATAGTTTTAGGCATTTATCAGAAATGGCTAGGAGAGAAATTTTTATTACATTTTCTTATGCATATACATGTACTTATTATGTACATGTAGAAGTGAAGCACATACCTTTATCAGTTCTCTTTGTTCTCTTTAGTGCTTCTCCCCGTCGTACTAGCCTTAACTTACAAGGAAGAAGACAGAGCAATGATGGTCGCCCTGTTGCTCGCCGTCTCTCTAATCAGACAAGAAATCCTGGAGTATCTGCCAGCGTACAGCTTATGAATGGTGGTAGCTTAGCACCTCGTGTATGCAATGGATCTCAAACATTAGTATGATGAGTACTAATCATCATATTCATATTTATTCTTATACTTATGCTTTACCTGTTTGATGTAGATGGATTTATCATGCTTATAATATCTGTCTCACTCATTTTCTATTTGTTTCTGATCTCTATGCATGTTTATTCTATGTATGTTTATTTATAGAGGCCATATGATTGTCATTATTGTATACAATATCATCTTAATCTTGTATTTCTAACCATTTAATAAAAATCAGCAGTTACTATATACTCACTTTAACTTCCTTGCCAATAATCCACAATGAAAATTACCACATAGCTAGCCAGCACAATTACTATTCTACTCTTCAGTCTGCCTTACCTACAGTCTGTCTTACCTAGCATCATGACCACTACTGCTAGGGTTGCTATTAGAATTGCTATTGGAGTCCTTATTCCTCTCCTGTACCTCAATGAAGCTACGGTATTAGCTAGAGATACAACATATTCCTCAAGTCTTACTAATGGGACAGTTCGTCCTACTTCATGCAAGGAGATCTATCAAAGTGATGCTGAGAGTAAGACAGGAGAGTACACGCTCTATGATGCTGTTACTGGTGAAGCTTACAGCGCAACTTGTATCATGGGGACTTTTAAGTATTGCAATAAAGAGGCTGGCTTGACTCAAATCTTTACTTTTGAAAATGGAAACAAATGTCCTAGAGGCTTTGTACAGACGAGCTCTAAGGACTCTTGTGTGAGATCTCGTAGGAAGTATGGAGGCTGTACCTCCATTCCTGTTGCAGGTCATGGCATTTTATACAACAAAGTATGTGTGATGGTCTATGGCTATCAAGTAGGTAGTCCTGATGGAGTAACTGGGACCGACAGAATTCGTTTTGTTGAAGGTCCTTATGTTGATGGAGTTAGTATAACACATGGGATTCCACGTAAGCACATCTGGACTTTCATGGCATCTTCATCAGAGAAGAAACCAATATGTCCTTGTGCTCCGGGTAGCACTGTCAAGGTACCTGATTTCATTGGTAATGATTACTTCTGTGAGTCTGGAAACCCTGAGGAAACTGCCATTCCTGGTAAAATTTACAAAGAAGACATGATATGGGACATGGAGCAATGCGAGGGAGTAGAAGGCTCCTGTTGTAAGAGCACTCATAAGTATGCTTATGTGGAGCTGCCACACTATACTACTGATGACCTTGAGATTAGGATATGCTCTGATGAGGATAGTGCTGAAGAGGATTTTGCACTTTCTATGGCAGCAATCTCCGTGTATTGAAACTATGGTTGGATATAGTTGTGTGATTGGTAACTAAAAATCCTATTTTATTTATTTCCAAAAATAATTCAATCTGGGCAAAAGAGTAAGAGCTAGTGCGTGTAATCAAAAGCCACTTGACTTATGTTATCATGCAGTAACAATAATAAAAAATGATATTTTAAAATGTGTATGTCTGTGTATAGTGTGTTCATGTCGATGGAGTATTTCATAGTTGCCCTACATAAACCATAGATGCAATCCCTAGTCCTATTATAGGCAGTGTGGCTATCACTATCACCACGACTCGAACCACTGCATCCTAAGAAATAAATCAAAAATAAAAATTATTTTGGTTGGTTTATTGCACCCATTATTCTTTTCTTTGGAATTGCAGTAGTATTTTGTCTCACACTTTAATAATTAAATTGTGGTTGTGCCAAATTAATTTTGATATGTAGTAGTGCTGACTAAACAGCTTTTCTAATTGAATTTTGACATTATATCAAGCATGTATATAGACGTATGGGCTGGATAAAAAATTTAGAACATACTGGAGATGATTGTAGTGGTATTTTGGTGTCATAGTTTCTTCTCTGAGGGAACTCTTGCATCATTGTGTCATTATTCTTCCACATCTCATGAACTAGAGCTGGTACATCCCTTGGCTCTGGAATATCTAAAAAATGAAGGAAGATAATTATATTGGGTATTATCACAAACACTTCAAAGTTTGTCTTTAATGTATGCTACAACAATAGCTAACATACATGAAATTTTTCTTGCTTTGAGATAAATTTAAAGGCAATGGTTATAAAGCATATGCTAACAAGCATGTTAACAAACTTGCTAACAAGCATGCTTTGATCAATATGCAGTGAATTAAAAAATTTATAAAAAATTCAATTTTGATTGTAATCAACTCAAACTTTCTATGCAACATAAGTACATGTGTATATATATATGCATCAGAAAAAAATATAAAAGAGAAGGATTCTTTTTGTTTTAATTTTGGCAAAGTTTGGTGCGAGACCACGACTTATGGTATAGGAACTTTGAGCATTATAAAAAATTAGTAAAAAATTCAATTTTAATTTTAATCAGTTCAAACTTTTTATTGCTCAAATTTCTATGCAATATAAGTACTAATATATGCATCAGCTAAGTGCTAAGCCAAAATCTTGTGTAATTTTTTTATTTAATAATAAAAATACTCTCTTCCTTCAAGTTCCATTACTTTTGTGGTACCGAACTGTGTAAATATTATACAGTGCTAATAGTACTGGAACATAGCCAACTAATGATGCTAGGAGCATAACGACATTCCTTGCTTCAGTAGAGTCTCCTGATTTGTTTTTCAACAGCTGACCAGCAAACATCATTGCAGCATCTAAATACAAAGCATTAGTTATGGTGGTATATATAAATATAACACATATCTTTCCTTACAAGCTGGAATTAATGCTAGAAAAATTCCAGTTCCGCCATGAGCAAAATCAAATAACCCTCTCCTAGAAATGATGAGAAAAAATGGCAAAAATTGAAAATAATTAATATTGTGTATAGAGCTAACCATTTCGACTCTCTTTTTGGTCTCATAAATGCAATGAATGGCTAAAAAAATTAATGTTTTCATTTTATAAATAAGCAGTATAAATGAGAGCTTACGTTTGAAACAAGTGCGACTAAAGCTATAACTCCCATTACTTGATGTGCATCATTTAATGGCTATATAATGGTAAGAAAAAATATTTTAATTTATTTCGAAATCACTTGTTTACTACACCTTATTTACACTATGAGGTGTGAACAAGGTATTAACAAGGTGATAAAAAGTAAATAAGCTATTTTTGAAATTGTATGTAACTCCTCGTTTAGATATACCTGAGTGGTGAGCCAAGTGAAATCAGCATGCACTAGAATTAATATAAGACCAAGAACTGCTAGCAAAATACCAATCACCATCAAAATCAGATGAGCCTATAATATAATGCAAAAATAGTGCTTATAAAAATTACTTTAAATACACCCAGCAATTAAAAAATTGATGTGCATCATTTAGTCGGTAATGTACAGTTTTTAAGTGCAATTTTGAGTGCATATAAGTGTGACAAATTAGCAAAAAATGAAGTTATGATTGATGTGGCATTACACAAATCACTCCTTACTATTATGAACTTCTTTCCAGGGCAGACTGCTTTGCACATTATAGCAACGGTCAATCCAATGGGAATCACAAGGCCCCAGGCTCCAATCATAGCTACACCTAAAGAAAATGCATCACAAAGCTAAAAGCTCCAGTAGTGAAGTTATGATAGTACATTGATATAGCCCTAGCTTGTCTGGGGGCTTGTATAACTTACCATGTAGCTTCACCAGTGTCTCTACCGTATCATTACTGCTCTGTGCAGCTACTGGAGCTCCAAGAAACAGTATTAAAGCAAAGACCAAGCTGCATTGGGCATACATCTTCCTCCCTTTCAAAAGTGGGTGGTGGTTCACTTTATAATTCATAACAGAAGATTTAATAGGCACAATTCATGAATAATATTATTTTTATTGTAACATTGATTATGCTAAAAAACAAGATAATAATGAGTATTTCATACTAATAATAATAATAATGCTAATTCTCATTTTTATACAAAAAGAGATTTTATGCTTGACGGCGTATTTGGAGTGTCGGGAGTTTTGACTTTCATATCATGGAGTCCGCCAAGACTGTGATGACGCTTCATAGCAAATGAATCAGCCACTAAAAATAAAATAAAAATATTGTCATCATTTCACTGTTATCATTAACCAGCTGTCTGCTTTTTTTTTCTTAATAAACAAATAAATAACTTTTTGAGTCTACATTGAAAATGCAAACACAATTAAAGATTTTCTTTAAGTAATAATTGAGCTACAAATGATTATAAAAATTACTCTATCTACTAGACCGAAGCTTCCTCTTTAATGAAAACATAGTAACAGGATGTACGGAGCTATAACATAATCAACTTGTATCAACTTAGTACATTGACTGTATGTTTATAGTGAATAAAGTTTGTTTTGTTATCCGACTACCAGTCATACTATAACAATCGATAATAATAAACACATACAGTTAAGTCCTAAACTATTTTATGTTAAAACTTTGGGGAAATAATTAAAGGAAGAGAAAAAGGAGACACAGAGGAATGTAGAATAGGCAAAATAAGAGAGAGAAGCACAGTATAGTGGGAATAAGGGAGAAAAACAGGCACCATAACAAGCCAAATTATACTAATTAATTAACCAAAGAATGTACACACCACCACACAATACCTTGGCATGGTCCGTATTCCATACATAGATAAGGTTGCACGACTTTACTAACTAGAATCTGTAGTTCATAGAATTGCTCGGTGGGTGGCGATTTATGGACGCTCTGAAGAACTAACAACATTTGCTTTATTTCTGGCGAGACAGGAATAGATGATGAGACAGAGCTGTCTAAGGCATCCTCAATGCTGGTTTTGAGGAGGACAATGTCACGGAAGCTAATGAGAGTCAGTGCACGAATTGATAAACCTTTAAACTAGAAGGGATAAGAGAGGGGAGGATGGTTAAAAAAATGAATAAGGAAGAGGAATTCGAAAGCTATAATGTGTAAGTACATGTAGTGTGATTTAAAACAAGGAAATCCTTACTATTCACCTGTATAGGGGCGAAGAAAGCTTGCAATGTCGGTAGTATTGATGTGTAGAATTGAACCCAAACATGACCTAACTTTTCAAGCAACATCTGACCTACAATGCATGATAATTAATGATAGTATGAGAGTGCACATTCATTACCTGATTCTTCTCTCACGTCTTCTCTTAGGATAATCATACATTTCTTCAAAAGCTGCTCCTGTAGCATTTATGGAGTAAGTGGGTGTAGAGAAGTATAGTTATTTTATAAATCGTCCAAAATATCAGAAACTTACCTGGTAAAATTCACTTAAGAATGCTCCTACACCAGACTTTGATAATTTACTATGAACACAAAGAAATTACAATGATAATTAGATGAGGAAATGGTCAAGATTAGATCAGATAGGCTCCAATAATGATACTTTTACTTACAGGAGCCTCTCGTTTATCGGTAGAAGCTCTGTAGCTAGCTCGGGCAGCTTTCTGAGCTGAAATAATCTTGTCAGGACATTCTGAACACTAAGAAAAAGAAACGGGAAATGGAGCCTCGCTAGGTAAAAAATCTCTCTTGCTCTAGAGAGGCTAGATACTCACGCGCTCCAGTCTTCTCCCTTTAATTCAGCCTGCCATTGGACCTGTCTCGCTTCTTGTTCGGAAAGGTTGATTAATGCGTAGCCAAAAGGAACGCTCTGGTCTCTCTGTGTCATGAGCAGAAGCAGAGGAGCAGGATGGAGGAGAGACAGAGAGAGTGAGAGGAGGGTCAGCTAAACAGCATTCTTTCTGGGGGGTGTGGCTGGAAGCTCTAATCAATCAACTCACACTATCTACTGAGGCTTGAGCATCCTGTGTAAACTTCACAGAGTCGACGAGCTAAGAGTAAAAGGTATAATGCTAGATAGTAGTAATATTTTGAATGTTTTCTGTTGCTAAACAGTCTCATATATATACTCTTATTCCCATTCAATACGTTCTCTCTCAATAGATCTACCAACCCACACAAAGAGATTATGTCTGCAGACAATGGATTATTAGCTGCTGTGTATCAAGGCTCCAACGTTTTATGTGATAAGGAGCACAACTTGTCGTTAATGAAGGACCAAATAAAGAGGGCAAGCTCAGACAAAGTGAAACTCATCATCTTCCCAGAGCTCTTCACAACAGGGTACTGTCTACCCAAGGGGTCTGAGGATATTGAGAGGCTGGCCGAGACCCAGAATGGTCCCAGTTTCCAAAAAATATCACAATGGGCAAGTGAGTATCAAATTGGTATCATTTATGGATACCCTGAAAAGGAAGACAAAGATGGTAGCGTTTATTATTATAATTCGGCTCAATTCATAGACAAGCAAGGCTCTTCGCTATCAAATTACCGTAAGCTTCATTTGTGGCCGTCGACAGACAAAGACTTCACCCCAGGGTCTCAGCTACCTGATGTAGTCTCGTATGAAGGAGTCAAGATTGCAATGATGATCTGCTATGATGCCGAGTTTCCAGAGCTAGTGAGAGCAATGGTGCTGAAAGGTTCCCAGCTAATAGTGGTACCAACAGCAGATACATACATCAGCACTGCTACTATAATGGTAAGGACCAGAGCTTTAGAGAATCACGTGTTCCTGGCATATGCTAATCACTGTGGCCGGGAGAGTCACATAAAGTATGCTGGGCTTAGCTCTTTTATTAATCCAGATGGGGATATCATTGTGTCTGCTGAAGACAAGGAGTCCCTGTTGAAAGCTGTTATTAATGTTGATCTCTGTACACCAAAAAGACCGTCTTATTTAGATAATAGGCGACCTGAACTCTACGCATCTATTGCCGTGTAAATTGTGTTATAATAATAATACCAAAAGACTGCAATAGGTATCAAGAGTATAGGTACATTATTATTATTTATAATTATATTATTGAATATACAATAGATATATTAATGTCAAATTATGTGTATTATTTATTGTATTATTTTATTGTTAGTTAATTCTTCAAATAATTCAAGTATAATAGGAACTGCAGCCTGACAAAACACATTCTTTAAACACAACACAATTCCATTTACAGAATAACCACATCATGTTTCTAAAGCTAACAAAGCCACAGTTTACATAAACACATCCTTTGTCAAAAGCTGACATCATTAAAAAGTCATACCATATGAGGAGGTGGCGATTGGCTTGTAAAAACGCTGTAAATTTTCATGCACTCCCACAGATCACTGTAGCACCTCCCAGTAGAACCTTTTGTTTTTCCTTTATTCATCCAATCCATCAAAACTGATTTTGCTCTTTCTGTATCAGATTCTAAATCTTCAGATATATCCACTCCCAATATGACAGCCAATTGAGCACAATAAGGAGCAAATGCTTCAACAAGAGACTCAAAATCTTCATCAGAAATAATTTTCTTATTCAAGGCAGGATCTAATAATTTTCTAACCAAATCATTTTTCATGATAAGTAAAGGTTCAAAGCCAGAAAGGTCTTCAATAGAACAGTCAAAAGCTTCTCTTAATTTATTTATATTTCGAATAATATCTTCAACAGAAATGGCAGCCAAAGAAGGCTCTTCATCAAGTGTCAAATTGTTCATACATGACGGATGAAGTAAGTAACGATGTGTTGGAATATCAGGGCAATACTTGTCCTTTAAACTATAAATTGCATTAATAAGAACTGATCGAGTTTTAGCTAGTGAGAGTAAGTTATTTTTGGTATCTTTTATGACTAATAATATTGCTTCTCCATGCAAATGAGTAAGTGTGACCTGAGTTGTCCTGTGAACACATTGGACAGTGCTGGAGGTTGACTCATAGCAACCATTTTGCTTATCACAGTAGACCAATGGTGGATCAGTACACATAATTGGTAGGACTGGAAGTAAATTACAGACAGGAGGAGGGAACTGATATGGTGGCTCACATTCTAAGAGCCAACCAAGTGATATTTCACCTTCTGATTGATCAGTAGTGACCAGAAATTCACGATCTGGTAAACATTTAGGAAGTAATGTAGGAAAGAAACACCAGGAAATAGGTACTTTAGCAGTATTTAGCTGTAATTTTTTCACTTGCTCAGTTTGCGATAAGTTAATACAAAATCCCAAATATTGTATCACATTGATGAAGGTCAGTGGATCAAGAGCACATTTAGTACTACACTGAGAGATAATGTCTTCATCAGAAGTTATGCATAATGAACTTGATGCTTTTATTTCTGAAATAACCTCATAGGTCTTCTGTAATGTCAAAATAGGGTCTAATATTACAATACTCTCACCAATATCTTTATCGTCCTTTAGGAACATCAAGTAGCCACTTTGACTAAGAGCAGTAAAACCTTCAGCCAGTTTCTCTATATCAGTAGGCAATGGAACATCCTCCACTATCATCTCACAAGAGATCTCAGTCAGTGTGTGCCTTTCTAAACTACTATTACGAAAACAATGCAGCACAAAAGATCTGAGGGCAGTAGGAAAGAGTTCCAGTGGTCTATGTTCTTGCAATGCATTACAATTTATAGAAAGAAACTTTATCAGTCTAGCTGCATGTATAGGAGACAGTGACTCTACATCACATTGTAAGACTTGAGGTGATATCACCAACTCATGATCAGGTAATGATAAAGAAAGACAAGAAGTTGATACTTCATCCAACAACTGTACATCAGTTTTAGAATCCACATTTATGATGACAGACAATAATGGTCTGGCAGATTTATTAGCAGTATACGACAACAATGAGCTAATGAATTGTAGCCAATAATTGATGTATGAACCAATTTCTTCGAAAGTTTTATCTTCTATCATATCAAAGCATATCATGAATACTGGATGAGAGCAGTGAGCAACAGCATCACATAAAACACCATCAAAACTTATCACTTCTTCAGACACAGCATACAACATCACATCACCAATATGATTGTTGTACCTTCTATAACTCAATGATACTGGTGCTGCAACTAATGGCATAGTACTTTCATCAAGACTGTTTAATTCATTAAGTAATGCTTTTGAGCTACCAAGTAGAAATACTTTAGTCTGTGCATACAGAGGAATACAAGACTTCATAAAGCCACAATTACCAGGTGATACTTCAATGAGTTGATCTGGATCAGCTCCTGCCATTACAAAACTGCAGAGGACATCTTTTGAAGTAATACCAGCTTTACTAGCTAACTGTAATGGTGTCAATCTGTTGTTATCTTTAACAGTTAATTGACCTTTGTCCTTTGTCAATAAATACTTTAGAGTATCAGTATGACCTTTTGAACTAGCTAAGTGTAATGGTAATTCCCCATTGAGGGTTGATTCTAATAAATCACATAAAATTTCTTCAACTAGAAACTTAACCACATCAGTTCTTCCTTTGGATGCAGCCCAATGAAGACAAGTAAAACTATTATCTCCAGCTCTTTTCCTTGGATTACAAATTCCACCTAATACTAGGTATTTTACAATTTCCAAGTGACCTTGTTCAGCTGCTTGGTCCAGTGGAGATCCACCTGGTAAATAATATAGCTTACTCTTAAACTCAGCAAAACGTGGATGCTCTAATAAATCAATCAGTACTTCTAAGTGACCTCCTTGAGCTGCTGCATGAAAACCTGTTGCACCACCTTTTGTCATTAGTGTTGGGTCAGATTTGTGTTCATCAATCAAATATCTTGCTATTTCTCCGTGACCATTCAGTATAGCCATATGCAGTGGCAGAGCTCCTTGATTATTCCTCGATTCTATTTCATGATTACAAGACTCAATTAAAAACTTTACAATGTTCATATGTCCATTTGAACAAGCTAAATGCAATGGGGACATCAGCTTATTTTTGGTAGCAGTAATAAGTGGACATTTTCTATCTTTAATGAGATATTGAGTAACCTCAAAATGACCAAACATACAAGCTCTATGTAGTGGAGTAGTTCCTGTTTCTCCTTCTGATGACATTACATTTGGATCGCATTTCCTATCTTCAAGGTAATACTGAAGAACAGAAAGTGCATTACCCTCAGCAGCATAATGAATGGCTGAAAAGCCAATCTCATTCAGTTGCTCTGGATTATAATTTTTATTCTGTACAAGGTGAGTAATAATATCTAACCAGTTTTTGAGAGAAGCAAAATCAATTACTCTTCTCCCTCCACTTGTACTAGTGCTTTCATCACACCCTTTATCAATCAATAGAAAACGAACAATATTTTTATGGCCGCTTTTGCATGCAACAATGAGGCCAGTCTCTCCAGAATTATCCAGTAGGTTTACATCTGCTTTTCCATCAGTACAAAGAAATTGTACCACTTCATGTCTATCTTTAAGACAAGCATAATGAAATGGAGTACGACCTGTAACATCCTGTACATTAGGACCACGTTTAATATCTTCACCATCACAAGGAGGTGTAGCATGCTCAAGTTGTAATAAATACCTCACAATGTCTAGCTTGCCCTCTTGAGCAGCACAAGCTAGTGGTGTAACTTTAGCTCCATCAGTAGCATAAGGATCGACAAGTCTTTCTATTAGATACTGTACCATTGGGAGTGAGCCTGAAAAACAAGCACCATGAATAGCTTGACGGTTTGCTGCTACTTTTCCAGTGGCCCTTGCAGTGTGGGAAGGATCACAACCTAATTCTTCAACTAAATATTTCATGACTTCAACTTTTCCACATTCCCCTGCATAAAAGGCTGGGGTTTTACCTGAATTATCTTCAGCATTTGGATCACAGTTATGTTCATTAATGAGATATTTTAGTAGTAATAAATGTCCATTGAGAGCAGCAAAATGAATGGGCTGTTGTCCCCCAGGACGATCTAACTCTTTATTAGCTCCAGAAGCTGATTGTGCACTCATTCGAACCTCAATCAAAAAATATTCAACGATATCTTTGTTTCCTTTCTTTGAAGCAATATGAAGACAATTTAACTTGTCATCCTTTGTGAATTGGTAAGGATCAAATCCTTTTAATAACAAGACTCTTATAATTTCAAGTCTTGATGCAGAAACTGCTACATGTAGTAATGAATGCCCTTCATTGTTCATAAGAGTGTCATCAGAAGGCAAAGTGAACTCCTCAATAAGATTAACATGTCCTTTAGCACAAGCTATGTGTAAAGGTGAGTTGCCATTTTTGTCTCTCTTATCTAGGAGAGTGTGATTAATATCTAGTAGATATCTTGAGGCTTCAACAAAGTTTTGTTCAAAAATGACATGAATATGATAGTATCCAGTAGAAGGATCTATCAAATCAGATTGACTTTTGTCTAGAATTCTTTTTAATGATATGAAATCTTTTCTCTCTGCAGCTTCTTTTAGTTGTGAAAATAGCGAAGGTAATTCAACTGAGATTCCATCACCTTCTACTTCCAAGCCTTCAGCCATGACTTAAAGCTTTCTTCTCAATCTAGTACAATAAGAAGGATAACTGAAAAAGAAACTTCAGTGAAACTAACCATCTGCTGGATTAAACAAGATTAAAAGTGACTGAGTCAGCGCCAGCGGCCTCCTTTAAAGTTAACTCTCTTCGCTTCAGAATCACAACTCCACCCGCTTTCTTACAAAATTTTTACACAACAAGTATAATTACAGAATTCATAAATGCGTGGGAGTACAGTTTGTGGTTAGTGAATTGCGTTTATTTGTAATCTCAAACAAGTTGAACAACATTTAACTTGGTTAATTTAAAGTATCAATTGAAGATAATAATCACAGCTAACATTATTTTTAATAAAGCAGAAGATTAAAAAAACAACAAAACAACTAACTAATGAGTCCTAAGCTGATAGTCTAGGAGAAAAAAGAAAAAAAATAAACAAAAACAAATAAAAAGTCATACCTCCATTTTGAGTAATGTAGCGAACCCAAGGAAGGGCCTGGTAACCACTTTTCTCAATAATCTTCAAATATCGGACCTAAACCACACATAATATACAGTAAAACTCAGTATATCTCAGTAAACTCTACCTACCTGTATGCCTGAAGTTGTAAAGTAAGGGATCTCAAACTTGACGGAGATTGGTGGCCGTCCTTCTCCTTCCTCTGTAATAATAAAGTGAGAGTCAATATAAATACCTCATGTGACTATGATGTGACTAACCTGACTGTACACTGGGGAGACCAAAATGAGCTCTCAATACATATTCCTTCCCACCCTGAGAGAGAAGAGAGAGGAGAGGGACAAAGGGAGAAAGAAGAGAAAGGGTGACATTAATGGAGGATAAAGGGAAAGAAATAAAAGGTAGAGGGGAAGAGGAAAGACAGGATACAAGGAGGAATAGAAGGGGAAAAGACTCACGGGGAAAGACTTGATCTTCCACGATAGTGCATTCTTCTCTGGAGCATAAGTAGCAGTACCAGCAGTACACTAACACATTAGGTGATATATCACGTGAATGATGAGCATGGTACTTACCCTATGCCTAGGAGTATCAGCATCAGCTGGTACTGGGATTAATATCTCAACGTCATTTGCAGTGGATCTCCTTTTAAACTGACCTTTTGCCTTATTTTGGAATAAAAGAGGTCAAAAATAAAGAAGCCAGGTCATGTGAATGATGTGATTATAGTGAGTCAGAGTGATACACTATCTACTACATTGTATTACTAAAACTAGATTGATTAATAATTATTTTGATAGCCATAACGATAGCAATAACCTTTCTATTTCAAGAGAAAGTTTAGGGAAAAGTATACAGTTACATATATGCATAACGCTATCAATGAATCAGTTCTCAGAAATTACCTTTAATAAAAAAACAATAACAATAAATTGTTCCCTTAGACTTTACTTGACTAAAAAATGTACCAGAACACATGTACTACACCACATTTACTATATCACTACACAAGCATATAACCAGATTTTTAAAATCTACCCGTGACGCACATTGTGCACAATTAGCCACAATATACAATTTTTTGCCTTTTAAAGAAAAAATGGATGTGTTTACATTATAGCTGATAACAAAAAACAATATGTCAGTATTAATATAATAATATACACAAACGAAACTACACAAAGCATGAATGAATATACCCAAATAAGGCAATTATATGACCATACACTGTACCGACCTTAATCAAATACTCCACTCTGCTGTGGGAGTGTCTCTCAATCACAGACTCTACCCATATCAGCGGCTTCACTTGAGTGTTCAAACGATACGACATCAACTCAAACTCTCCGTCGGGTGGGACAAATGAAATCGTTCGGTCGTTTTCAAAACGTGAGAGCCTCACACACTGATGGAACTTGACATCTTCAAGCTCAACAGCTTTAGAGCGAGTACCTAATAAGAATAGAGGAACTCATGATTTTACAAAATTAAAAAAACAAGTACTAGTACTCAATAATCTAAGGGCTTTAAACACAACCAGCAGGATGTTATAGCTGACTTAATAGAGTTATATGGTTAGTATGCAACTACTATAGACTTAGATCAGGGCTCCATCAGTCCTATTGTTGGAACAATGCATAGTCTGTCTATGAATAATATTACAATAGATGTAAAAGATCTAATCAATAGAACATAGCCATAGAAGCCATACATTTTATACAAACTGGTGGTAAATGTATGTACATGTACAAATACAATGTTGAAGTTCTGTCAACTTCTGTGGCTACTTTTATTTTTGAAGTTTAAATTTCTGAGTCTATCATTATCAAAACTGTATTGGCTGCTGACTGTCACTACCAGGGAGTATGAAGAACATGATTGAATCATTGAGAAGGTCACCACATTACATTGTGTATCTTATGTACAAACCACAGACATATCATATTGCAACCTCAGTATATCTTGATGTGGGAAGAAACACAAAAGGGTTTTTACTGTGTGGTTATACCCACAATCCAAAATCAATGAAACATTTCCAAATACTGTACTTACATACAGTACATGTTCTACCCAGTCAGTGAATATTAAAACTCCCAAAATTCCAAGAAAATATTACTCATAAATCCACTGAGGGATTTACTAATGAACATATGAAGGAAATCACTACATAGAGAATACACTAGAAGCATATCAAATAATCCCAGTAAATCCCCACCAATGATTATGTAATAGAATAATAATAATAGTAATGTAATTCATTATTATTAACTTACGTCCTGTGTTCTCAAATAGTATCTTATCATTGAGGCCCAGTCTCAGTTCAGGCATTCCAGTGAGGTGGACATTCATTTTGACGCTACCAACAATCTCACTCTGTAGTACTTGAGCATTAGCACTGACCTTTAAAGGGGAATTAAAGCAAATAAACTTGTACCACTCTCTTTCTCTCCTTCTTCCCCCTTTCCCTCTACTTTCCCCTTCTTTTCCTTTCTCCTTCAATGTTCTCCTTTCATCCCTCTATCTCCCCTCCTTCCTCTCTCTCCCCCTCTTTCTTCCCTCTGCCCCCCTCTCTCTCTCCCTCCTCTTACCAGGAGGTTAACACTTTCAATGACATCCAGGAACACTTCATTCTTCCTATACTTGATGCCTTGCTTCCTCCATGAGACAGCATTAGTAACTGCGTCAGGTACGCTCGGAGTTATTTGCAACTTATGACTCTCTTGAGTTATGTATCTGTAGATAAAATTAATAAAATACAGTAAATTACAATAGTTAATTCATTTTTAAGGTAGCATACATGTACATGTCGGTAAATTATGTACAGTAAATGTACAGTATGTACCAACAATTCTTATATCAGTGACAAGCAACATGACTTCATGTACATGTACATGCATGTTATGACAGATGGTAGTGATATCTCCAGTAGATATAATATCTTAAATTTGTTTTCCCACTGGTAACACTGATTTTACAATATAATGTAACAGCTGTTAACCACAAATATCAATATTAGGCTGACCTCAGTTTGCGAAACTGGCACTAGAAATATAAAGTTTATATAAACCCACTGAAAGATCAATCAATTTCAAAGACCAAACTTGTATAATCACAGATAATTTCATAGACATCAATCAGTGAGGTAGATATAGCTAAGGCATATTGGCACGGTACATGCACATGTATGTAAGGTGTGGTCAATTATTACAACTGTTTATTATTATAACAAATAAATATTGTAATAGTTAATTCAATATTAAGGCAGATTTACAATATTAGGCTAGTCCTGATGTTACGTCGATGCAGGAGTTGAATTTGGTTCAACTCTAGCGTAAAGCATGCGTGAAAAGGTCAAATCACTCACGCTTTTGATTAAAAATTGACGGCACGTTGGCCTAGTGTCATATTGTAAATCAGCCTCTAAGATACATGTATGTGTAGGACTGTAGGTACATGGACACCTTATCAGTGAACAACTGAGAAACGACACATATACTTGTAGATGTACATATGTTATATGTAGGAGGACAGCTAGTTTTCTCTACTTTTTACATGTACATCTCCAGTGAATACACTATACCCAGTTCAGTTTGAGATGGCACAGGCACCACCCTTATAACTTTTTTATTACTAATGCTAGCAAGCTGAAACTTAGTATACATGTAGTTGCATAACCGGTTCTTCCAAAAATCTGTACCAATTTTTGAGTCTCTAGGTACTCTGGAAGATTCTAAATGAGTTCTTCCGCTCTAGTTCAAAGGGAGCCGCCATGATGAATCATTACGTTCACGCTACATCACACTCGTGAATATCATTTGCATCTCATTATTATTTTAACAAAATTAATGTTTTTTATCACATAAAATAAAAGCAAACAGATAAGGTCCTCTAGAGAAGCAGGTAGTCAACTAGCAGTCTATACTACTCGGAAACAATTGTTATGTCTGTCTACAGCCTTCTTGATCACTGCTATTCTTCATCATCCTCACAGTATGTTGCTATTTTCCGTATCTGGGGTCCTTATGAGCTTTATGACAAAGAAAAGTTCCAGTCAGTGATGACTAAAGGTATAAGTATCCAAAACAAGGATAAAACAGACAATAAAAGGTCTTAGAGGTGAAGAAACGCTCAACAAAAGAATTTGCTCGCACTCTGCCATCATTTTGGGTATGGCTAGGAATGACGTTTTGTGATGCAAACATTGATTTTACTTCCTGCGGTAACTCAACTCGAACAGACTATACACATCTTAAAATTGTACTCCTAGTCCCACAAGAATAGTAAATCAAAGTCCAAGCAGCACCTGGCTAAATGAATTACAAAACCCCAAGTATCAGATCAATCTCTGATCTCACGTTCAGTACATGCAGCTGGCAACAGGTACAAATATCAGCTGAGATTCAAAGGATAGCTTATCCTTGCATCAAAATGATCAAATAAACATGACAAGCAGTGACAGACACCACACATGCACTAACAGACACAACACAGAAAGGATGACAATAGCTTGAAGGTATCAATAAGGTGTTGTCAATGAGAAGGCATGGTCAATAAGGTGTGGTCAAATGAAAACTGCTAATATTATTTTTTAAAATCATTAATATTGTATTAGTTAAAATCTTTGAATTATAATACACTTCACTTGTGCTTTTCCAGAAAATCATAAAATCACTAGTGGCTACATTCTTAAGTTAGTTGGTTAATTAATACTGTATAACGGGTTTTTTTTGAGGATAACAAATTTCACGAATTTCTTTATGATTTGCGAAATTAAATTCCTTGAAAATCAATTTAATACGGCACAAGATGGCAGAATAGTGGAAATTCGCAAAAATTAATTTCGCAAACTTCCGGATACAGGTCATTCGCAAAATTTATTATCCTCGAAAAAAACCCGCTATACGGTAATCTTTTATTCTACTATACAAGTACATGTAACTTACTCTTTGAGTATTTTGCTTTCAGTAGTTTGAGGGTATCCATAGTCCATGAGTTCATCCATTAGTTCATAAATAATCACAAAATTGTCCCTTATGCTCTCCTCCTCCATTTCCTTGAAATATTCTTGAAAAACCTTTAAGAAGATAACATAAAACCATGAGCTGCAGTATATTATTTTGCTATTTTAGTTTTTTAAAATGCTCACACATGTAGCTTTAAAAATACTTGTCGGAATCAGCTCAAACTTTCTACATAGCATAAGGACATTAACACGTACCAAAAAAATGTAATAAAAATTCAGGGTGATTATGGAGCCAATTCTCAGAAAAAACCATGGGCTATAGCCTATAGCTTTTGCTTCTTTTAAAAAATGCTCATAACTCCAAAGTTATTAGTCAAAAAAAAAGCTCAAGCTTTCTACATAGCATACGAACATCAATATGCATTTTAATAAGTAATAAGAATTGGGGGCAATTTTGAAGCTATTTCTTGGAAAAACCATGGGCTATAGTCTTTGCTTTAGTTTAAAAATTAGCTTTTTAAAAATGCTCATAACTCAAAAATTATGAGCTCAAAATTTCTACATAGCATAAGGGCATCAATATGCATCAGAAAATAAAAAAACTGAAGGTGAGCATTAATAAGTGCTGTAGGGCACCTTTATTCAAGGGCTATAAATTTTGTGGATTTTGCAATGAATGCAATCTTTTTAAAGATTTGCAAAAATTACTTCCACAAAATCAAATCATTACGGTACAAGATGGCAGAGGGTATAAATTCACAAAAATTAAATCCGCAAAATAGATTTTTAGGCCAATAAGCGAAATTTACAGCCCTAAAAAAAGGTGCCCTATGGTAACATGTAAAAACCCTTTCCCTATCCTTCCTCCCCTTACCTCTATAATACGATGCAGAAAAGAGAATATGACGGCTACATTAGCGTTCTTAATAGCAGTTGCAACCACTGGGACAAAACAGGTCAAAGAAATCAACAAAACAATCAATTTACAATGTACCAGGAATAATAATCAGACGTAATTAAACCTTAACCAAAACAAATAAACTAAGTTATAAAATTACATTACAACCACGCTCTCACAAAACAAAATTTCACCACAGGCCCCACCCATAACCACGCCCCTTTCAATATGGCGGATACAATAAATATTCCTATGCTTGAGGTAAATGAAGGTGACTTTCTCGTGTATGAGTATTGGAGTCATGAGTCCCTCCTCCTCATTGTCCATCACTAGAGGAAGAAACTTATCAATGACGCTCATCTCAACGTCTCCTCTGTAGTCACGTGATATAAGGGGCTGGGTGGGGAGAGAATAGCAGAATACGAGACTGTGAGCGATGATTGACATTCCAGGCTTACCTTCCCCTTTAGATCCAGTATAAATACAGCAGATGCCGGCATTGTGTTCTTTCCACGGAGTAGACAAACAGATCCAACAGATCAACACAATGGTGGACGGGATGGGCGTACGAGATGGGAGAGGCGGTATGGGCGTGGTTAAAAAGGGCGTTACCTCATTAATAAAATGAGCAACTGAGCTGAGACTGTTCAGCATGAGTACTTAATTTGCTGCTAAAACTTAAAGCTGCAGTTTATAGCTTAAATTTATAATGAGTAGGTCACCAAATGTAAGCATACTAAACAACAGAACTGGAAACAATAATTGGAAGAGAGAGAGAGAGTAAAAGATGAGAATCAAGTCAAGTAGTTAATCAGTTTTTCTTTTTATTTTGTCCAGGATACTTTAGGTATGTCATAATGCTCTGAGAGTGTGTCTAGTTTTCCATTAAGTTCCTAAAAATGATAAAATAATTAATTGCATTAGATTGTACAGCTCATTTTGTTATACAACTTTCCTAGCTAACATGTATTAAAATTAAAAATTACAATTACTGCAATAATTATAATAGATTATCCACTCTTGATTATAGCGATAATGATATCTACAGTGCAACACTTATTATGTGTAACATATACCTCAACTCTTTCCTTGTGACTTTTCTCAGCTTTCTTCAATATCCTTTCCTTTTGCTAAAATGAGAGATAAACTAGGTGAATG